GGCCTTAGAACCATGAATGTTTGTTTTTGTTATTTGTTTAGTATTGTTTTCCTGGAACCACGAATTTTTTAAGTAGGTGGGCATCTCACAAGGGTACCTGGTGCCTCTCTCATTTCCGAGTCCTCCTCTGCCCTGTGACTCCCGCATTGGATGGGTGGGGTTGGAGGACACAGAAGTGCAGAACCAGACTCAACTGAACAACACAGAGCAATGTAAACAGCTTATTTTCCTGGAAACAATGATCAATCCAGAAGTGTTGCTATGCTTCAGCAGAGCCCATCTGCTCACTTCTGTTGGAGGGAGGCTTCTCCTCCTCATGCCGGACTTCGAGTCCTGAGAAGAGGTAAGTTTGCAATGCCATCCCAATCTGAGTGACAGATTGCCTGGCCTGACTCCTTGGGTTTCCGAAAAAAGCACTAAGCCAATAAATTACTCCTTTTACTGAAGGTTGTAATTTATTTTCTGTCACATGCATCAGAAAGAATTATTAATAAATAACCAGCCATAACAGTCACCTGTCAACCTTGTTAAGGTCTTCGAGCACAAGGACATCACAGTATCCTTGGGTGTACCCTTTCAAGGGGTTTTGCTTTTAGAATAGTGATAACAAAACAAAATTCCTTATGGTCAACTTAAATGTTTTTGCTCTAATTTTAAGTTAAGGACTTCTGCTTCCACCTGAGATACAGTAGTAGGAATTAGATATGCCTTTCTACAGAGATAAGTGAGAAAAAAATGGCAAAGTATTTGTAACAAAGGTTTTCAGGTCACTAGGCATTAGGCAACAAAGGACAGCAATCCCTGAGGTAGCTAAGGGGTGAGGCAGGAGATTAGGGTGTGGCAAACTGAAGGAGCACGTGGGCGAGGCCTGTCTCAGAGCTGGACAGTGCACAGAACACAGCTCTCAAGCCTGTGCGGGGTGGGGTCGTCAGAAAGTGCTGTCTTCAGCTCCTCCGGTGTGAGTTCAGGTTTCTGCTAGGGTGGCCTGGACCTGACGTCAGCCTGAAGAACGAGGCCCCTGAGAGGCCCTGCCTTTAGCCTCGTGGCTGCTGTGACTCCTCCGTGGCCACTTTCACTCTGCAGAGTGGACTTCTTTTCCCACACAGCCTCGCCACCTTCTTCACAAGTCTTGTCCAGTTCTTTGTTCGGGACACCAAGGGCCTGGAAAGGGTCTACAGAACCCCAGAATTCGGGAACAGAATGAGCTCTGCCATTGCCCTAGGTCATCACCCTCTGAGGCTCCAGGCCACAGCACAGGCAGAGAGAGGCTACAGGGAGTCTGATAAACTCTGAAGTGGAGAGTCTGGGAAGGAGAGGAGAGACTGAGTGAAGGAACAGGTGTGATCTGCAGGTGTTCCCGGTCAGGAATTCAGCAGCGCTCTGCTGTGTTTAAGGGAACCACCACAGCAGGGAGAAGTCACCTGGGAAGTTACAGCACAGCGTGTGCTCAGAACTAACTACTGCCTGTTTCTACCAGCCAGACAGACAGATGGGCAAAGCACAGAATTTATGGCCCATCAGTAGAGAACTCAGGAAAGAGACGCCTCAAGGGTAAACAAACGTCCCTAGATGGAGCACTGGTTAGTCAGCTTTCTGGCGCCGTGACAAAATATCTGACGATAACAACTTAAAGGAAGACGAGCTCATTTGGCTCATGGTTCAGAGCTTTCTCGGTCACTGTTGGCTGGTTCCATTTCTATTATGCCTGCAGAGAGGGAGAGTCATCACGGTGAAAGGTGTGCAGAGGGAAGCTGCTCAGCTCGTGGCAGCCAGGGAGCAGAGAGCTATGAAAGAGCAGAGAGGGAAGGGTGGACACAGGATGACGTTGCCTTCCGGGCACCCCCGTGACCCACTTCCTCCAGCTGTACGGTCCCCGCTAGCCACCACAGCCCATTCAATTATAAACTCGCCAACAGACTATTACACTGACCAGACCAGAGCACTCACGAGCCAGGCACTTCCCAACACTCCCCGCACACACTGCCACACAGGGGCTGGCCTTCCACACACGGGCCGCGGCAGGGCAGACGAATAAACCGTAAAAGCAAGGCCCAAAGAGATCAGACCATTTCCCAGTAGCTCAAGTGCATCCAGAACCAAATTCAGGATATTTATGGTGATATAACAAAATAATTGGCACCAAACAGGGTAAAATTCACTGGGTCTGGCAACTAATCAAAGATTATCAGATGTGCAAAATGGCAGGAAAACATGATGCATAATTAAAGGAATAATCAATCAACAGAAACCAACACAGATGGCAGAAGCAGAGCAGAACATTAAAGCATCGATTGTAACTGCAATTTAATACATCCACAAAGGTAAGGAAAGATATGGGAGGTGTAAGAAAGACACATATGGAGCTTCAAGTGATCAAAGCCAATGTTTGAGATGACAAATACATTAGATGGCTGCCATGGTGCATTAGACATTTCAACAGTAAAGATCAGTAAGCCTAAAGATATGCAAAGAACCGCTCAAATGGAAACAAAAACTGAAAAGAATTCGCTCCTTGTCTCCCAGGCAACCACAGGCAGCGGTTGCAGGACTGTCACAAGTGGCCTGACTCCTACATGGTGGCGTCTCCTCCAAAAGAGACAAAAAAGAGGGAGGCAGGCAGAAAGTACATCTGAAGACATAATGGCCGACATATTTCTAAAGCTGAGAAAACCTATAAACCCATAGATCAAAAAAGCTCAGGGAAAGCTAAGCATAAGAAACACGTGGAAACTACACCAAGAGATGATCAAACAGCTCATAAGCAATAACGAAAGGGTTGTCGCATATGGAGGAGTAACGGTGAGAATCACAGCAAATGTCTCCTTGGGAGCAGGGAAAGTAGCAGACAGTGAAACTACTATAGCCAGCTGACTTCGGTAGAAATGTTACGGGCAGTCAGATAGGGCCAGGTCCTCGAGAGTCAGGACAGAGGTGAAACCACATCTGTGGCCAGAGACATCGGCTGGAAACCGGGCCCCAGGATAAAGACAGATGACCAGGCCTGCACACTTCCTCAGAGGACGAACACAGGGCCTAATGAAGTCCAGATGGACATCAGCCACCCCTGACGGTGGCCAGAGAACCCTGGACCCACCACCTAGCAGAATCCTTGTTCTTCCCATCCATGCTTGCTACATGACTTATTTCCCAACGGGACCACTACTATGTAAATGACTGTGCTTGCAACCTCATTGGTTGATCATGGCTGTGGCCCACGTTGTACACATGTGGGTTCCATTCTACAAACTCCTCTGTAAAGCAGGGTCCCCAGCTAACCACTCGGGTCCCCCTCCTGTCCCTTGGGAGTTCTCCTATCAATAAGTATCTTCCTACTCCTAACCTCTGTCGTTCCTAGGACTCACTCTTCAATTTTTAGTGAACAAGAACTCTGTGTATCATACAGTTAATAGGTTGGGAGATAGAATATTTCATATTTCATCTCTCATATTATTTCCTATAACAAAACAACCTTTTTAAAGTACTAAAGGAAAAAAATCCCCTTAAGTTTACAGTTCTATATCCATTAAAATCTGTCCCAAGCAGAATAAAACAGATGAGAGATGAATATTTGTATCTACACAAAGGAATAAAGACTGGATGATAAAAATGTGAGCAAATATGTGCAATGTTTTCTTATTCTTTAAATTTTAAGTCATTCTTCCTTTACCCATCCCCCAAGACATCCAGTTCTTTATTAAAGCCTTTGTATAAGTTGAGCTAAATCAAATCGCCCTTTATTCATCTCTCATTCTCATATTTATTAGCTTTTTCTTCTGAGGACTCATCTTTCTGTACCATCAGTGCTTGCTTTGTGCTTCTCTATCCTCTGGCGTAACCTCCTCCCCTGCCCCTTCTGCAGACTGTGAGGCCAAATGTCCAGCGTGCGTGCCACTGAGGGCAGTAAATTCACTGTGGCTCCCACTGCGGGGAAGGTGTTTGGTCCTGCACATGCACGGCGTGCACCGGCGTGTTACAGCTTCTGAGGAGGTCACTGCTGGTGGATGCTAACGTAAGCTGCTCATCCCCGAATTTCCCCAGTGTATTGATTACAAGGTCCTCAGAGTGCAGCTTGAAAGTCACTGATCCTGTTTGATGTCTCCACATAAGAAGTGAGAAACCAAAGTGGAGAGAAGCAAGCGGATTGCCCGAGACCACACCAAGTAGCGAGCAGGGCCACCTCTGCTCAGGCTCGTCTCCCCACTAAGCGCAGCATTCTGGTTCTGTCCTCGCGTTCACCTTGAGCCTTGGGAGGCTGACAGTCACCTTTCTGTCACTGTAACTAATGCCTGAGAAGCCACTCAAACAGAGGACGGGGTTCTTTTGTCTCACAGCTTCAGAGGCTCCAGGGCATAACGCAGCCCTGTCGCTGTGCAGATGGCTAGGGGTGCTGGTGGCGTGTAACTGCTCACCACAGGGCACCTGGCAAGCAGAGGCGGGCAGAGCCAGACATCTGCCGCAAGGGCACCAGCCTGAGCTAGGCCGCGGCATCTGCACCAGGCCGAGGGCCCCCCCCCACTGCCCTCTGGGGTCATCCCGCCTCAGAGCCGCGGCACCTGCAATCCAGTCTCACCGCCACCACTTTGCCTTTCACTCTCATCCTTGGGTTTGCTGGTTTTATTTTTCTCCCCAGAGGAGCTCTGCAGCCCGGGGATCAGCACCTCCTTCGGGCATGTGGACAGGAATCCGTCCTCAGGTCACGGTGTCTGCAGCCAGAGCAGGTCCACTGTGAAGTGTTTGGTGGCTCGGGGCAGCGCCCCTGGGACCGGCAGCCATCCATCCCCCTGTCGCCACTCAGTGGCTTCATGGCTCAGCTCGGGGGCAGCCCGGCCGGGCGGGGGGCAGTGGCAGGGGCCATGTGACAGAGCCTGGCCAGCGTCCTGCAGGCCCACTGTCAGCAGGGCTGAGTGAGAGGGGCAGACGTGCAGCCAGACTGCTGAGACAGGGCATCGTCTCCTCTCCCTCGCCCCATCGGTGCCGCACAGTTCTGTGTCTTCTCACCGAGAAGCAAAGGGAAGCAGCCAGAAAGGGCTCTGGGTGGGCTGTCCAGGCACCTGGGAGGACATGCACCGAGGGGACCCTGCCGTTTCCTGTATGACAGATGGCTGGTGATCGGCGCAGAGCAGCTGGTTAGGGAAGGGAGCAGGTGGTTTGAAAAGCTGCCTGTTATTTAAGCTTGAGATCCTCTTGCAAGGAGTCCCGATCCCCTGGTTAGGAAGGAAGAAAAGAAAGCCTAACGGATATATCTGACAGTGAACACGAACGCCCTGGGAACAGAGAGCCCATGAGGTCACAGAAAGGGGAAGGGTGTGACCAACGGGCAGCCGAGGGGCCCTAGCTGGCGGCGTGCGTGACCGCCGGCAACCAGAGGCGGGGCCGAGGCAACAGCCGGGGCGCTGTCCGCAGTGGGGATGGCGACGCGGACCACGGCTGCCCCTCTGCCCACCTCAGTGGGCCTGTGCATCTGGGCTGCCTCGCCTGCAGGTTTCCGCTCAGTTCAGGGGAGGCGGGTGCGGGAGGGAGCAGAGCCCGTCAGACCCCACAGGGACACGGTGAGCACACAAGCCCCGGGGACACTTTTAGTCTCAGATTCGGTGGAAGATTCTGCACTGGGAGCAGACGGTAATGCAGTCACCAAAATATCTCATCCACACCTCACCCGGGTGGTGCGAAACCATCATTCCTGCTCTGCGGGCTCAGCACAGGCGGGGTTACCACATCACAGAGGTCACTGGGCTTGGGCAGAGAACGGTGGCTGGCACAGGCCCTGCCCTGCCCTGCCCAGGCTGCTCTGCAGGAACCTGAGGTACTAGAGCTGGCTCTCCTTCCAGAATGCCTGCCTGGTGCCTGGCTCACACGGGCCCTCAACGGGGTCTGTTAGAGAGGAGCAAAAAGTAAGGATAAACTCCGCAAGCTCTGCCATGAAGGTGATTTGAAAGCAATCTGTCTAAGGTCACACAGCAAGATCGGATGCATTGATGTGACCCCATCTGCCCTAGTTACATAACTACTAAAGACCTACTAGGTGCCAGGCAGCGCTCATCAGACAGACAGCCGAGGCCCCAGGGCAGGGCTGGAGCGGAAAGGGGAGGACTAGCTTCTGGGCAGGTGACCCCTGACTGCTGGAGACGCATCCAAGTCCCGGGTGCTGCAGAAGCCAAGGCTGACGCACAGCCGCCCGGGACAGAGCAGCGCCTCTCTCTCTGGCCACGTTGGTCAGGTCTTTGCGGTGGCGGAGGAGGGAGGGGCGCAGGCCCCTCTGTTGGCCTGAGTCTCGGGGACCACCTGCACCCCCAGGTGGAAGGCAGCAGCCTAGAGGCCGCCTCTTGCCAGTTCTGAGCAGCCAGACTCAAGGCTGCACTACCCAACAGGGCAGCAGCTCTTTAGACTTTAATGGAACTTCAATAAAACTTAAAATACAGTTCATGCATCAGGCTAGCCACATTGCTAGTGTTTGTGGCTTCATGCGGCTAGTGGCCACCTCACCGGACAGTAGACAGAACACTTCCATTGCTGCAAAACATCCGCTGGGTTTGCTGCAAAACATCCGCTGGGTTTGCTGCTCTGGAACTCCGACTTTGCTGTTCATGGGAAGTTTGAACTCTGACCGGAAAGTTCATTCTTCAGGAGGAAATGACAAAAGGTCCAGAGTCACATGAGGTGTGCTCAAAACATACTATGAACATTTACATTTTCAAAAATGTTTACAGTTACAGGCACGTTGCCACTGATGCCCTCAAAATACGCCTTCCTTCAAGCACACTCATCCCATCACCTTGCCCCTGTCTGGAGCAGCTCTGGAGCCCTCCTTTGCAAGTCTCTGCGGCTGCCTCCTGTTTTGAATCAATGGAAAACACAGCAGTTTCTGTCGAGTATAAATGTTGCAGTGAGTCCTCGTCACCTTGTTCACCGGATCTGGCACCACGTGACTCTCAGTCCTCCCCAGAGCCAAAATGATCACGAAAGGGAAACGTTTTAAATCGACTCAGGCCATCCAGGCAGCCAGGACAGCACAACTACGGGCAATTACAGACGAGGCCTCCAGAGCTGCTGCAGACAGTGCCAAGGTGATGGGATGAGCGTGCTTTAAGGAGGGAAGTGTTCTGAGGGGATTCGCGGCAACGCGTCCTTTGGTGTGACAGATTTAACATGTTAACGCTGTCTGAATCTTTGCTCACGCCTGGTCCAAGTCCAGACCCGTCTGCGGTCTTCTCCTGTGAGATGATAACTGGAGTGACTCCTGGCCTCTCCGGCTGGATTTGTCCCCAGGGTGATCCGGCCAGACCCCAGCCTGAGGGCGGATGGCCTCCCCGCACCTCAGGCTCCCCACGCACTGCTCTGCTTCTTTCTGCAGTGAGACGCCTGCTGCTACCACACACGCCTGCACCATCAACATACAAAGAGAAACGGCTTACTGCACCTCAGTCTCAAAGGCTGTGTTCAGGACTGGGTGGCCCTGCAGCCATGGGGCCCGGGACAAGGCACCAGGACATCAAAACTGCTCACCTCACAGTGGCCAGGAAGCAACGGAGAGGAGACGGCCAGCGTCTCACGGTCCCTTTCAGGAGCGCCCCTTGATCAACACAAGCTCTCCAGGCACCACCTCAAAGGTTTTAGCACTTGCAGCAGTGCCACACTGAGTCCATCCTCTAATCTCGGGTCTCAGGGGACATTCCAGATCCAAACTGTCCATCTGCCACCTGCTCCTGCAGGGACCCTTGCCAGCCAGGCCTGGCCTCACCGAGAGCTCTGCTCCTGGCCCCTGAGGGCTCCATGGCCTCAGCAGGGACCAGGCTGCTCCTGCCCCCGAGGCTCAGCTGCCTGTCCTCACTTGCAAGCTCAGGACAGTGTGCTGAAGGCCCCGGTGTCACTCCTGAGCTGGGCCCCCACTCACTGGGCATCTACTGAAGAAAACTCAGCCCCTCCCACATCAACCTCCTGAGGAAGGCGACTTCCACGCAGATGCCGCCAACGGCAGTGCTTGCCTGCGGTGTCTCTGTGTGGAGGCCTTGGCTACCTCTTCCAACAGCTCTGAGGGCAGGCGGCACGGATTCCATGCTTGCTGAGGGTGACATGCTAGGACTGGAATGCGCCCACCTGCCTCCTGACCCTGACCTCTGCTGCTCTACTCTGTCCAGATGATTCAGAGGAGCGAAATGTCCGGCACCTCCAGGGAAATTTGCCTTTTTTTTCTTTTTATAAAATTCAGGAAATGACTATTGATTCACAAACTGTCTCTCTAATGGCTGTTTCTAGACACCTTGGTGGGGAGGGACGTGCTTTTTTGGAGCAAGTCTGTCTGGTACCTCTTGGCCAACCTCGGGGGCCTAGGTGGGCCCCCCACCGCCCCAGCCTTCCACGTCTGTCCTGATGCACGAGAGCAGAGGGCAGAGGGATGGCGCCACACAGTGCCCCGAGGCGGGAGGGTCATTCTGGTCCTTTCCCCAGGGCAGGACGCCAGCGTCTGAGTGGGCAGTGCGGGTGTGTAGGGTGAGACTCAGGGCAGCACCCTGCTTCTTCCAAACAGAAAAGGGAGGAGAATAAAGGCCTTGCCCGCCGCAGAGTGCTGTCCAGCTTCAGGAGATCGGTTCTAAGCAGAAACTTTTGTTCAGCTTGATTCTCCTGGTTTCCATGGGGATTTTTGGGTGGTAACAAAGCCCCATGTGTCTGGAGTGAAGAAAACCACAAGCATGATTTGCACACATGCAATGTAGATGTCTACTCAGCTGGAACCGGAAATAAACACAATGTGAGTATGAAAAGCAAAAAGCAGGGGGCACTGAGAAGATACTGAACTGGAAGCAGTGACACGCCTTGGCGTGAGCCAGCTTGTCCAGAGGCGAGCAGGGCTCTGGCCTCCTGCCCGCATGTGCTAGGCTGACACGTCCTGCATGTCCTGCTCCTGGCCTCCTGGGTAGGATGTAAGGAAGGAGCTAGCATTGCTCCACCCGGACTAGAAGGCTTTAGCACGCAGTACTTCATGCGAACGTCATACCAGCCACGGACCATGCTGGCCTTGTTCCTTATCCACATTTCACTCAGGAGGAAATGGGCTTCCAGGAAGGGCACTGCCTTGACGGCCCACCCAGCTCAGAGTGGAGCTGGGACTTCAACCCAGAGTCAAGCTCTCCCCAAGCCACGGTCTTCCCAGGGAATGGAGTCATGGGCTCTCTAACTTGCACTCCGCTCTAGTGGCAAGAGTGAACTTGGGTAAACACTGCTCCCTGAGCCTGTTTCTTCATTTGTAAAAGATGCTGGCTTCAGTCTTATCTGCAACTACCTTGTTTTAACAGGTTATCGTTCTAAGTTGCCACTGCTGGCCTCCTAAACCAGATGATTCCCTCATTTGGCTTTTCCCTTCATGGAGAACGGGGGACAGAGGAACAAGGGAAATAAGATTTACAGGTTGTCCATGCTGCGGAAATGTAGGCTTTCCTCTCAGACAACTGCCACACTGTTGTGCATGGTGCTTTTCACCTGAATGAGCATCTGAGGGTGTCTACCTGCAAACACTGAACAGATGGGAAGATGTGTAAAATAGGGGTGAAGCATAAAGCACTACCAGCACCCCCAACTCACAATGGTGGGACTTAGAACTTTTGACCTTTACAATGCTGTGAAAAAGACATGCATTTGGTGGCAAGTGTGCTTTGAATTTTGAACTGTGACCTGGCCCCAGGCCACTGGTACACAATGCGCCACATTCCCTCATGAAGCTGGGCAGCCACAGAGAGCCCCAGACCAGGAGACCAAGTAGCTGGACACCACGGGGCTGCTGTGCTGCTGAGCGAGTGTCACCCATTTCAAGTAAATTATAGCCGCACGTCCACTACCCAGTTTCAAAGACCCTGATCTTCCACTCCGAAAGCCTCCATGTGTCTGTCCCTACCCCAACCACTCAGGTGACACCCCATCTAACTTGTGTCACTCACTTGCTTTTCTTCCTCACTGCGCTCTAATTCTTTGATCTGTCTTTTGAGGGCTGCGGATGTGGCTTAGTGGCAGGGTGTGTGCTTAGCGTGAGTGAGGCCCTGCTTTGATCCTCAGCCTCACAAACAAAAAAGCCCAGTGCACATCGGACTTTCCCTAAATGGACTTCTGTCACACGTACTCTTTCGCAAACCATTTTTTTTGTTTCATATTTTCCCCAGAGCATCCATGTTGCTGCCTGTAGTCCGTCTACAGTTTTCCACGCTCACTGGCTCGGGCTGGATGAGGACCCTCGGCGTCTGCCTGTTTTGTTACTTACTCAGATCACGTTCAGGTGATTTCCTGGCTTTCTGCTGTTGGGAACCCCGTGGTGCTGACACCCCACACAAGCTCCCTGGCGCACGTGCAGGAGATTCTGGGGACGTGTATGCAGCGGAGGAGCTGGGTCCTGGCAGGTGGACTGGCTCCTTTCTTGGGTAATGTCATTTACCTCCATGTGGCTGCTCCCCATGCGGTGGACAACTCCCCTTGCTGTCTGCAGTTCCCCATTCTGGATTCTAGGCCGCTGTGCACTGTGCCAGCTGTGCGCCCCCTCCACACATCACACTGGCTTCACTCTTTACACAAAGTCTTTCAGGGAGCGCCAGTTACTTCTGCAGTAGTGAACGTGCTCGTCCTTTACAGATAGTGCTTCAGGGGTCCTTGTGTGTACATGTGAGTGTGCACCAGGGCCTGAATTCAGGGCCTCTGCACAGAGCTATACCCAGATCCCGCAGTTTTTGTTTTGTTTTCGAAGAGTCATATCACATCACTGAATTCCCTGAACTGGGCTCAAACTTGTGACCCTCCTGCCTGAGCCTGAGTGCTGAGATTACAGGGTTTTACTAAGTTCTCCTTTGAAGAACTCTTTCTTAAGAATGTAAATATGTTATATTTCTTAAAAAATTCATAAACTGAAAGTAATGCCTACATTTATTTAGTGTAAAAAATTATACAATGCATCATTTTGGCCCTAGCCATATACTATTAAACTAATAAAAAAACATAAAGAATGCCATCGGCTTAGAGACATCACATTACAGGATTCATACTGTCTGTGTACAGGGGTTGGAGGGTTTTGACAGTGCTGATCCTGTGGAGAAATGTTCGAAATGAAGAGACAGCCATATTGGTATTAAGCATTGGTGGATTATCCACTGTTACATACCTAACCAATTACATTTCAGAGTACTATACAGAATTGTCTTCTAAATTTTACAGTACTGTCTCTCTCATGTCTAGGCACTTAATCCATATGGAATTTTAATTTTTGTATATGATGTATGATAGAAACTCTACTTTGTTTTCCATACAGATAACCCACGTTCTCACTTACTAAATGCATGCTCGATTGCTCCTGAGCTATCCAGTCTGTTCTGTTCGTCATTTATACTGTGGCAGTGCTTTCATGGCCAATGTAATAATTGTCTGGTAGGAAAATTCTCTTAGGATTTACTTTGATTATTCTTCACCTATAAAAAATTTTAAGATAGATTTTTCAAGTTCCATAGGAAAATCTTGTTGGGATTTTGGCTAAAACCATAGACAAACTTGAAGAGAACTGGTATTTTCACTTTTTATGCTAAATTTATTCCTAGGTTCATTTGCATCTTTTTCATAGATGTAATTGACCTGCAATTTCCCTTTACTGGATTGACACAGGTTCTGTTCTTGGAGTTAGTACCACAGTTGACTAAAAGCTGAGCTCTCGTTTCCCATTCTCCAGATGTGTGTGCAACACTGCAGTAATCAGTGTTCTGAATGCGTAGCAGGAAGAACTTAGGAAATGGGTATTTGACTCTTCAAGACAAGATGCTTCTTAGGATTATTAATTTCCTTGCAGGGGATGACTTTTATTTATAATTTTTAATTTCTTCTTGGATCAGCTCTGAAGTTTTCTTTTCCTAGGAACTCAGCCATGTTATCTGTATCCAGATTTGCTGCTTGATTGTGAGGTTAGGGACTGAACCCAGGGCCTCGCCATGCTCAAAGTGCTCTACCGCGGAGCCATGACTCCAGCCCCAAATGTACCGAGAAGTCTGTTTGTAATACCTGCCCATCTGCTTACTCCCAGCAACTTCTACACTTTGCCACTCCTAAGTTTTTATGCTTTCTTACTTTTCTCCTGATTGGTTTCAAACAATCAGCTTGTTGACCTCTTCAATTTTCTGCGTCATCAATTCTGCTCCTTATTTTCCAGTCCCGACATGGGCGTTTTTGAGTTCATTGATTTTTGGCTTAATGTATATATTAATGTATGAGTACCCACAATGCCAGCTACTTAGAAGGACAACCACAATTCTGAGGCCAATCTGGGCAACTTAGTGAGAACTTGTCAATAGACAGATGACAGATAACAGACAGACAGACAAAACAGATAGGGCTGGGCTGTAACCCAGCACTCCTTCAGTTCAATCCCCAGTACGTAACTGATACTTAAAACTGTATTTCTGCATTTTGTGCTGATTTCCAACATAAGGGTCATTAACTTTGTTTTTGAGGACTGCTATCTGGCCCCATGTGTGGTTGTTCATTCAACAAACACTAACCGTGCATACGTGCCAGGTCCTTCTCCACATGCACCGAACAAAGTAGATGGGAAGTCAGGCCTTCCCAGAGTTGTGCTCTATTCTTGGAAACACCCTGTGTGAGAGCAGAATGTACATTCTCTTTGTGTTGGGTCCAGTTGTTCTGTGTATGACCATTAAGTCAAGACCGCTTTGCTGCTCCTGCAAATCTATTTCCTCACTGTTCTTTTGCTCTGATTATTTTATCAACGCCTAAGAGGATATTAACATTTCCTCCTGTGATTGTAGATTTATCTATTTCTCCTGCTTCTAATTATTGCCCTAGGAACATGTCATTTTAAAAGACTAGAAGACTAATGCTCAAATTAAGAAACACGCCCAGTTTCACAAAGTTTGTAAAGGATGGATCCGGGATTCCAATCTGTCTGCTTTATTATGACAACATGAATGCTCTCATCTGTTTTTTTGACATCATCTAATAACAACACACCAGTCTCTTCCCATTCTGTGGCAAGTCCTTCTCCCCAGACTCTCCCCAAATCGCCAGGGCTCCTCGCTCCCTGGCCAGGCACAAACGTGCCCTTGGTTGGCCATCACTGTGTCCTGGGACCCACACTACCAGCACCAAGCCAAGGAAGCCCTGGGCCACTGCCCTGAGGCAGGCATGTGTGTCTGCCATGTTGGTTCCCAAGGCACTTGCAGAGGCGCTAGGAGTGCATCTCTGCACTGCTGTTTGTCAAGAACATTTTTCTCCTATCCATGCTAATAATCTCAGCTGAAGATTTCCTATTTCTTTATTGTTTCTTCTGCACAGCAAGAATAGAGAAGCTTCCATTTCTTTAAGTTTTAAAAATAATTGCAGTGCCATCTGGAATTCATCCATTGCAGAACAGTGTGGTTTATTTCAAAACTCATTAAGCAGTTTTACTTCTCAGGAACTAGGCTGGGGACACTGTGGATGCAGAACGAAGCCAGACATGTGGCCGTCTGTAAGGATGCAGTGTAACAGCAGCTGTGTGCAAAGCATGTGCCGTGCAGGGCGAGGGGTGTGCACGGCACGCAGCAGAAGGCTTCCCAGAGGAGGTGACGTTTGGGCTGTTACTAAAGGGTGTTCTGGGAAACATCCGCAAGGGCAAGAGACTCGATTCTGCACACAGTAATTTGTCAAAGTGATTCTTAAAGGAGTATTTTTCTTTTTGCTGCTAGCTTGGGATTCCTCATTGACGCTCCACTCAAGACAAATGGCACCTGTCCTGTCACCGTGCCCTGCTCCCTGCCAAGGTCGGAGCTGTAACTGCGCGGAGTCTGCTCTTAATGAACACTGGGCTCCACAGTTACTGAGAACAACATAAACCCCGATGGGCACCCACAACTAACAGAGGGATGTGTGCCGGGAGGCAGTGGCTCGGCGCCCGGGAAAGGGGCTCCCAAGGGGCAGGGCGTGGGCTTCCCGGGGAGCACTCAGGCCCGAGTCGCTCGCTGATTCGAGCCATTCCTAACCTCAGGCCCAGCTCTGGGGGCAGGAGTGCGCCACACTCACTCCCTCACCCACTCACTCACTCATCTGCAGACTGAACCCAGGGCCTTCACACTGAGCTACATCCCCATGGGCCCCGAAGTCACCGAGCTGCCCAGGCTGGGACTGAACTTGCAACCCTCCCGTCTCAGCCTCCCGGAGCGCTCTTACAGCTGTGTACTTGGCGGTTTTAAGTATTTTTGAAGCTCCCCAAGTTATCTTGACGTCCAGACAGAAAATGATGGCCACAGGGCCTTTGTTAGAAAAAGCCAAGTTCACTTCCCATGCCAGACCGCAGGGCGAGCCAAGCCACAACCTCTGGGAAGAGCGTTTTCCTGTGTGAGCAAGGCTGTGTGCCTCTGATGTCTGGGCAGCCAGCTGACACCAGGGTGGAGAGCAGCAGGGCCCGGCTGGACGGCAGGACTGGGTCGCCAGGACAGGGCCCGGCTCAGGAGCTGCCTGCAGGCATCTTTTCGAGTCAGTTCCCATCACGATGCCAAACCTACCCAGAAATGGCCATTGCTTACAATCACTTCTCATTTTGTAATAAGTGGATAAGGGTTACATCTGCCAGTGCAATCAGTGTAGCAACTAAATCAGCCTAATTTTGTTAAATTCAATTGTCTCCCCGAGGTATTAAATTTGCATAAAGCAAGAGAAAAACTGCACTCAGGTACTTAAAAATCAACGAAATGATTATTAGGCTGCATTAAAAAGAGCACACATTTGAAAACAGAATACCAGGTATCCCTACCATTTATTTGAAAGTCATTTTGACAACACTACGGGTAAAGTAATTAGTTTTGGGTTAGAGATAACTGAGCATAGAAAACATTTGCTTTGAAAGGGAAGCTGGTGTCAATGCTATCCTAATCTCTGCACAATAAAAGAAAATCCTACCTCTTAATTACACTATAATGATTCAAAATCTTTTTTTTTTTTTTTGGTACCGGGGATCGAACTGAGGTCCTTGCACTTCCACAGCAGGCGGCAAAACCACTGAGCTAAATCCCCGGCCCAATGATTCAAAATCTTAAGGGAAAAACCTTTTGACTCTCTTACAATCATTTGGAGTCCTTAAAATTCTCCCCTGGGAAATAATGTAAAAAAGAAAGAGGTTCCAAGACTTTTATGCACCGTAATATCCTTTCAACTTGGGATGTGGAAGTGCATTTGCCCTGGTAAGTGTTGGGGAACAGAGAGGAGAGGGAAGGCAGGAGAGCAGCTGGCTGCCCGTGTGCTCGTACTCGTGCTTAGCTGGCCTCTAGGAGGGGAGAAGTCTGAGGTCTGGGGTCAAAGCAAAAGTAATCGAGTGGAACAAAGAACTTTTAAATCCCTACACACGACTGCATTTATCTGTTTACTCCCATTTCACAGGATTTTCCCTGTCTGAACTGAAGAGGTCCAGTTCATCGCTTCCAAATATTTAAATGATCCGTGACTTACATCAGTATTCGGGTTAAAAATTACCTTCTCTGTTCTTTGCTCCTTGCAAGTCCCCTTGCAGCACGGCCCTCAGATTCAAAGGAGGGACAGCAGGGAATTAGCTCCAGACAGTCTGATGGCAGCACGGCGGCGGATGTGCTGTTGGGAAAGCAGTGCCCCCCCGGAGGCCAGCAGGCTGGGCCCATTAACCTGTCGGGCTCAAGGACGGTCTTGGGACAAACGGAACGAGAACACGAATTTTAGGATTCCACCTTAGACCAACGAAATCTGAGACTTCTGTGGTAGCGACGGCGATCTGAGGGCTTCTCAGTGAGTCTGATGCCCACTAACAATTGGAGGGCAAAGGACAAAGAATGAACAAGAAGCCTGGCGAGCCATGACAAGTGCACACCTGTGTTTCCACAGGTCCCCTGTTCCTTTTGCACACTATCAGCTCTCCGATTTGGGTGCTTCCTCGGCATCCTCCCTTTGGAGCCCCCTCAACCACGGAGAGCTCTTCTCTGTTCTGGTAAATGACAGCCGCTCTGCTCCCTACTGCCATCCCATTGGCTTCACTCTTCCATCGCCCCCAGGACAAGAGCACAGGGAGAGAAAACTGGTCACACCTCCATCACACTTCCCTCCCGGTCTGTCAGAACAGCAGCTGACTCAGACCTGGCCTTACTACAAAGCAGCTCGTCCAGTCCACGTGGAAATGGAAAGGGCAGGAAGGAAAACACTTTCTACGTGTTCTCATGATCTCTTTTATTTCACATACAGTCCATGTAGACAAGTGGCATAAAATCATAAAAACACAGCACTTCCTGTGCAGTCTCCCTGTACCCCGACACCCTCGACCCCTCCCGGCCCTGGCCTATGCAACGGCGCTCTCCCTGCCAGGCATTCAGAGCCTCGGCTTTCCATGGAACCCCTGCCCCGGCACGGCTTTTCCTAAACGTCATGTCAACAGCTATTTCCTTCGCCTCCTTGCCCACCCTTACTGTCTTCACACTAAAGCAAAAATATTTTTAAATGCTAAAAATTTGCAAAATACTGAGATTTAATACTGCTCTGTCATCTACCCGGGACCCACCACAACTCTGTTTGTATCTAGCAGCAGAGTGCCCACGGCCTCTGCTCCAGGCTGACTCCCCAAAATAGAAGCATCATTTGTTGTTGGCGTTACATTAAGAAATACTGTTACAAAAGGATTCTTCTGAAAAAACTAATGTAAGCTACTTTTAATGTTTTCCACATATGGCATAATCATAAGGGCATTTTAACGGTTTTTGCTGTACAGAATTTCCAGTTGTTCCATGTGAACTTGCTAGAAAAGGGAATTGCTGGAAGGTGAGAAGAGCAGAGGAGAACTTCAGAAGCACAACGGAAGCCTTCCTCCTGGGGGTACAAAGTCAGCCGCACTGGGAGGAGATCGCTGCAGGCAGCCCAAGCACCACGGTCCCCATTCGGGCTAGCTCTTTCTCTGCGATATCCAGTACCCGCTTCCTGTTTTTTCCAGGTCGCCTGCAGCATTACTGCTCAGGTGTGATCCCTAATCCACAAATCCCCAGCTACTTCCCTATTTCCTGAAATGTACAAATCCCTAGGAAACAAAACTGTCAAGTAGCAAATGAGAAAGAGCACGCACAAGTGTGCAGTCTCCTGGGCTCTGGGGCCAGGGGAGGACATTCATTCCCCAGCCAGTCCCCCGCGCCCTGGCTGAGAAGGCAGAGAGAGCAGCTGCTCCTGGGCTGGCGGCTCCGGGAACCACCCCTGGGGAGCCAGGTCCCCAGGACAAGGCTGAGGGAGGGAGGGGCCTGCGGTTAGCAGAGAGCACTGTGAGACTGATTAAGCCTCACGGTTTGCTTAGAATTAAAGAAGCCCAAAAACCACTTCTGAAAATGAGGATAGTTCATTGTTTTGAACAATCTCATTTCACACAAATTAACTTCCAAGAAACAAAAATTTATAAGAAAAATGCAAAGCACATTTGGAAATATTTCACAATAAAAAGGAGGAAGAAAAAATAATGAGGAAGGCTAAATATATTTATTCCTCACACTGAAATGATGGTTTTTAGAAGCAAAAATTATAACATGGGACTTAAGGCTTTCTATTAAAGACAGGCAATCTTGAAAGCAAAATAGAAAAACTCCATTCATTCATTCATGACTCATTTACTTTTTTGACCAAAAAATTAGTCAAGAACCAGATACTACTGACGACTGCATATTATGTCTACTTAAAATACATTAGCTTTTAGATACACATATTTGGGGTTCTTCAAAATAATTTTTCTTTGACTATAATTAAATATGAAAAATTTTAAAACTGGTTTAAAGGTATTAAAATAGAAACATTTGAATAATGCTGAAAATGAGGAAAATACAGTTACCATTTTTTAAACCAGGAACAAGTACTGATAAGCAACTTAATGAGTAAACAGCACTTATCTGACAGCTGGGGGCTGGGAGACCATATGCAGGGGCTGGGTGTTAAAGGAATTTGGTCCTCGCCACTACACCTAAGAGCCTGGGAAATTGCAGGCAGGAAGTGTTTCACTCACAAGAGCAACAGAGAGCAAGAGCAGACAGCGGAGCAGCCCGTCCCTCCGCCCGCAGCATGCAGACCCAGGAGCTCGGGCTGGAGGCGGAGCATGCCCAGGTGCTCAGGGAGCAGACATCTCTACACCGCAGCACTCCGCTCACCTCAGCACACGCTGTCGAGTGTGTGCTGCTTGGACAGCCAGTTTCCAGGGCGAGCGGAACCAGTAGCCCATCAACAAGCACACCAGTCACTCGCACAACCAGAATGACACTCAACGGGCCAAATGAAATGTTCCCCATCTGAAAAGCTGCCTATAAAGTCTTGGGACTTGAACTGGAAACAACACAGCATTAAGCCCACGGCTGACGCAGTCGTCCGTGGGCCGCTGTGCTGGCCCTTACTCTTGTGTGACCGCCAGGACTTTGTAAGCACTGTTCTGGAAGGCAGTGGCGAAGTGAGGCCCGGACTCCTTCAGCAGCAGGTCACACAGGGGCGTCTTCCCAGCGTTGGCCGGATCTTCCACGTCCCAGATCTCAGGCATGCTGCAGCCAGGCCTGGGAAAGCAATCAGCACGTTACCCAGCTGCACACTTCCAACTTCTGGCCTTATTTCACTGTTTTCCTAGTTAAATTAACTTAGCTAAAAATCCTGTCTCTGTTACTTAAGATTTCTGTAAGCTGCTGCAGCTCCTCTTCAAGACAAGGTGAGTGCAGCAAAGGTGACTGCGCAGAAGGAAACACACTTCTGCAATACAGCCATCAGGCGCCGGGCACAGGCTTCCGACAAGTCCCACCTCAAGTGCTTATCAAGATGTGCTGGGTAACTACACCGCTCAACCTCAGGTTCCCATTTGTGAAGTGCAGAATTACCCAGGTGTCTAAGTCACTTTCTTGTTGCTGGGACAGAACATTGACACCACCTAGGGGAGCAGAGCTTCACTCTGGCTTACGCCTTGGTGCCTGTGGTCTGCTGGCTCTGAGGACTGCACGAAGACAGGCAGAGTGGGAGAAAGCTGCTTGCCTGCTGGTAGCCAGGAATCCCAGGGTGAAGCAAGGCGCGAGGAGGGAGACAAGCCCTTGCAGCCAGACCCCAGGTCCTAACACCAGATGACCACCTGGCACAGCCTCCAGCTAGGAGTGCATGAGGCTTCTGACGGACATCCAGATTTAAACCTTAGCACGCCACCCCTGGCCCACAAGACTCAGGCCACGTCACCAGGTCATCTCTGAAAGTCTTAACAGAGTCAGCACTGGTGGCAAGTCCAGGTCCAAAGTCTCTCTGAGACCTAACGCAAAGTCTTACCTACAGCCCCTGTACAAGTCGGGGAGAAAGCTAAACACTGCCGACGTACAAGGCCAAGGGTAAACACGCCCATTCCAAAAGGGAGGAGCGGGGATAGCGGGGGGGTGGGCCGGGCAAGACCCCAATCCAGCAGGGCGACAGGAGCTCCCGTAGCTATCTGCAGCACCTGAGACAAGTGTTGAGCCCTGGGGGCTTGAGCGGCCCTTCCCCTATGGGCAGCCGGCTGCAGTCCACATGGCCTCTCGAGCTGGCTTTGCTCACTGCTCGCGTTTCCTCAGCAGACGACCCACCCGCCTGTTTTCTCCAACTCTCTGGAGTCGGCACTGCACCTCGGGCTTCAGACTCACAGCTTCACACACTGCCAGCTTAGGGGAACCCTGCCTGCCTCCCAGGCCTTCTGAACTCTGGGTGGAGCCTTCCTGACCCCACCTCTTGCATCCTAGATGCCTATAAAATCAGCACCATGTGGATGGGGGTGAGGCCTGCTGCCTCTCGAGCCCTTGCTAGGGTGCCACACTGGCAGGAGGGGGAGCCGACCCGTTGCTTTGGATCCAGACGACCCCGTTCACCCCACTCGGGCCTCGGGACCTCACCAGACCACTCTCGCCCTGCAGAGTACACTCTTTGGCCTTCTGAAACGTACACTCTCGTTGCCTGTTCTGTGTCTTGTCCAATCCCTTTTCAAAACACCAAGGACCTGGAAAGAAGCCCCCGGACCCCTGTCCAGTAACAGGAAGGCAAGGTGGAGGGGCACAGCGAGGGAAAGCTTGGGTCAAGCAGGCGGAGGCCGAGTGAAGGCGGAGTCAGGAGGGCAGAGTCGGGAGGGTCTCACCCTTCCAGCCATGCCCCAGGCCTGCCCACCTCTTCTGAGCAGACTCCACCTCCTAACAGCAGGCCAGCAGTGTCACCTTCCAACAGGCCTGGCCATGAGCTCCTGAGGATAGGGGGACCGCTCGACTTAATGCACAACATGGGACAGGGCATAGGTTTGCTGTAAGGGTTAGGACAGTCAGGTACCTAGCATTATATCCAGCATATAAAAAAGACATACTGATTTTTAAAATTGTAAGTGGTAAGTATACTTAATTTATAGGCAAGATGCATTAATTTTATTGCATAGTTAAACCTTGAAAGCAATGTATTTTTCTAAAGACTGATATAAGTGAAAGTGGGGCTGAGTGTTATCTGCCTAAGCAGGTTCTTGGACATTTCATTTAAATCAAGAACAGTTTCATAGATATAACTGGTGGAGTATGACAAGGTTGACAGTTTTACCGATATAACTTGGGAGTTTGACAAAGTTCACACTTTCTTACTTTTCTTTTTTTTTTGGTGCCAGGGATCAAACTCAGGACCTTGTACTTGCAAGACAGGTATGGTGGCACTGAGCTAAATTCCTGGCCCTTCTTATTTATTTTTTGAGAAATCTTAGGAAACAAAAATACATGAAAAAATATAGAGAACTGACAACTGCTATGTTTTGTCATGGGTGCTTCCTTTTTTTAATTACGTGAAAAAAATGTCAATTCTCAGAGGTGACTTCTACAAACAACACAGCATGTAATCCTGCTGGACCTTTCCTATCCATGTTCGGCCACACACAAAAATAGACACGTGCTGAGGGCTCCAGTGCACGCGTCCTGCAAGTCCTCACTGAAGGACAGCGGAGGCCGAGGATAACATGGCCGGGCTCTGGGTTCCACCTCTTAATGTTCTCTCACATGGCCGAGGGGCAGAGAGTGAGACAGAGCCAGAAAGCCGTCCTGAGCTCCCCAAGTTCAACCCTCTTACGAATAAGAGAAGGCAAAGAGCTACCTTCATGAGCCCTGTCTGGCGCACACAATGCCCACCTGCGGGTCCCTGGGCACCGGCAACATCTTTCAAACATTCGTAACGCTGCGCAGTGGCGCATGCCTGCAATCCCAAGTCCTCAGGAGGCTGAGGCAGGATGACTGCTCAAGACCAAAAGTTTGAGGCCAGCCTGGGCAATGTGGTGGGACCCCATCTCCAATAACGATTACTGGGAATCTGAATCATTTTCTTCTGAGTAGATTTAAAAAAAATTTTTTAGGTCAACTCCATTACTCCAATTAATGAGAGAAAACAGAACTGAGAATAAAAAAATAGCTACCTACATACTTTTCCACATTTGCATCAGGTGTCTGTCAGCACTTGCATCTGTACACGCGTGTGGCATATTTAAGGACTATTCAAGCCGCACCACTAAGCCTTGCAGACCCAGCGTCCCGCTGTGCCAGGCAGGCACAGGTGAAGCACGACATGAGCCTCCTCCCTGTCCTGCCCCGACACCCCGGCCTGCAGGGTGCAGCGCCTCCGCAGCCTCCAGGTATGAGGCTGGTGTCATGGACGGAGAGCGGAGGCCTCAGCCATAGAGACCCCAATTCCAAGCAAAGGCCGTCACCAAACTCAGTCGTTCCTGCAGTAAATACTAACATGTCCCTCCTCCTCTGTTCCTGCCCATCCCTTAGGGCTCCCCGTCGAGGCAGACAGTGGTACCCTGTCGGCCCGAGGCACCCTGTGAGCGGCTGTCAGCGTGGCTGCTCCCATTACAGGTGGACCATGCCATTTAGTCACGAGTGGGACCTGATGGCAGAAAGCCTGTGACTTCTGCTGCAGCCACAGGACCCCAGCAAGCCGAGGTCCCGATGGGACAATGTGGCAGGGACTCGTCCCCTCCCCGCTCCCGACCCAGAGCCCGGCATGCTCCACAGCCAGCCACTGGTCGTCTGGTTTCCCCTCGTGCACAGTATGTATCGCCATACTTGCTAAATTCGCCTTTAGGTCTATCGCGGGTGCATGTGTGAAACTTCCGCCCATCAGAACCCTCAGGCAGCTCAGAGGAGCTCCAGCTGCCTCAGTCTCAGACCCAGGTGCCTGCCCCAGTGCATACCCAAAACACTACAGCGAGGTCTAGCAAAACAAAGACTCTCGAACGGAGGGTCATGTCCAACTTGGAGGAAAAAAAGCTTCTGAGAATTATTTCTATTGCCAGTAACAAGCAGGTGGCTCAGCAGACTGAAGATCCCGTCAAAGTTCTGTGGAGAAACGGAGCCCTCCTGTTGCAGATATCTGCTCCCCCCGGTTTACCATGTCTCCATCACGCTGTTAGGAGAGGTGCACACACCTCTGCCTAAGTTTAGAGAACCAAGGTAAGTAGGGGTGAGTGTGGATTCCATATGTACTCCTACGTACTGAAGGCAGTTTCTACATTCTAAGAGCAGTAACGTTCTGTGTAAGTCCTGCACAATTCACGTTCCCAGGCACATTCACAGCAACGCACTGAACAGCCAAGTAGGCCTCCGGGGCAGAGCTGCACACATGCAGCCTGGAGAGCCCGGAGCTGCACAGCATCTCATGTGCCTTCACACCCCGCCTGCCAATGAAGTCTGTGCTGGGCAGGCGTGACCAAGCCACAGACAGCAACCTCCTCAGGAATTTTAAAATAATGTTCCAAAAAACAGCCTCTATTTCCGGTGAAACGGCTCCTGTGCTGGGCTCCTGCTGCTGTGAGGGCCCATCCTTCAGTACGGGCTCTGCAGCACAGTCAGCTGCAGGCACCGCTGGGCCTCCGGATACCTGTCTATCCCGGTGAGTGAACTCCACGGACACAAAAACTCTTAAAGCATAGATCCAAGAGAACATGGGTTGTAGTGAAGTTATTCAAAATTTTCCCACTCAAGCTGTGAAACAGCACAAAAGGAAAGCATCACTGCAGCTGATGGCGTCGGGGTCTCATCCACCCAGGGGCCTGTGTGATGCCCAACAGGGCTTGTGGTCCCACTGCCATGAGTCTTGCCAGGATCTGGACTGACCAGGAGTCTTTTAAAATAAAATACATCCAACTTTAAGTAAAAGTCTTTTGAAATATCAGAGGCAAATACAAAGTATGATAAAAAATAACAGTGAATACATAAAGCATTTTAAAATTCTTACAGTAAAAGACATGCCCTCCTGAAAACCCTCCATCTCCCTTGGAACACACTTATCTCATCAGCAGCTCTGGAGGCCCCTCTCACGACTGCCTTAATGATCCAAGGTACAGCGACTGCTGCTGGGAGGCCCATCCAACAGAAAGGCAGGCTGTGTCCTCATCCACCTTATTCACCAGCTCTGGCACCGTGTAACTTCTAGCTCTTCCCCAAGACAAAAGGACCATGAAAGGTAAATGTTTTCGAATCGAATTAGGACATCCAGCCAGCCACAACAGCATGATAAAAAGACAGTCACAAAGGAGGACTCCAGAGCTGCTTCAGAAAGTTGTGAGGGACGGGTAAGTGTGTTCAAAGGGAGGGGGAGGATTTTCAGGAGGGTATATCTTTTACTGTATTAAATATGTAAAATCTGACCTTTCGCCATATATTTTTATTATAACCCTGTGAACAATTTGGGAGATTAATCAGTGCCACAGAATCCTTATTAAGTAGGGTGTGCATTATAGAGAAACAAACACAATGGCAAGACAAAAACTCAGTTCAAATAACTATCTAAAAAGTTCCCTGTACTTATAATTTAGGACTGTAAAATACTGATAGTGTTGAATACTCACTTGGATCTTCTTATACACCATGACTCTTCTAGAATGTAATAATTCACTTTGAGCTTGATCAGTCCTCGCTTCACTTCTTCAGCTGCTTTTCGACTGTACATGGAGTACACTATTTTCGTTCTGGCTCTTTAAAGAAAAACAAATAGGCGCAAAAATTTTCCCAGGTTGAGCGGAAACAGTCAGTATTACTGGGAAGAGGGCATGGGATAGCACTGAGGAAAAGACCACGCAGGGGCCAGGGCAGCCGGTCCCGCCTCGCTGAGGGGCGCTGACCAGGTCTCGCTGAGGATGCGTGCCAGCACCAGAGCGGAGAGGCACTCGGGCGTGCGCTGCCACTTCCAATCGGTGTCATTTCTGTCTGCTTGCTTGTTCTTGGTCTTAACTCTTCATCTCTCCCCCAGGAAAGAGCAGGGAGCCCGAGTGGAGGGGACATGGACTGCAGCCCCACACCTGACACCAGCAGACCTCAGCAAGAATTGTCCTCCACATTCAATAAAGCTAAACTCGATACCACTGCTCTGGAAATCAGCATGCTGAAATTGATTTTCTTAATGAAAAAGCTTTTTATTAATAAGTGTATATCCTACCGCCTTGTAGAATAAAAACTAACAGGATTCACCTGATCACTTAGGAAATGAATAGCTTCATCCACCCGAGAAGCTGCATCAACACTGAATCTATTACCTCCTCTATGAGAACACAAAGGCACGATTTATGAAGAAAATACAGTGCTATTTCTGTTCACAAGCTTAATTTGTTTTATGATTTTGGGGAAGATGGCCGTGGTTGTGTTTGTCACCTGTGTGGAGTTTGTAAAGGAAAGCAAAATTTTGCCCAAAGGTTTTGTTTTCAAATCAAATTGTGAACAGAAGCATCTGTGAACTGAATTACTGTACAATGAGCCTCAAAAGAACAAACAGAAACATTTAAGATCACTCTGGCATAGGCCCTATTGGTGAAAACCACAAAAAACTCTGCAAGGTGGGACTGTACTGACAGACTGCTCGGAATTCAAGAAAAATGGCCTCTACAATTCAAGCCTTAATGAAGTCGCAGGCCACTGAGGGCTTGGGGCTCCACAGGATGACGGTGACCGGAAACCTTCAGGGCTCCTGGAGCCCACCCACCTGCAAACAACCACGGGGTGTATTTCTTCTTCTGCCCGGCAGGAACCACCCCAAGCTCAGTTTCACACTCTGGAGCCATCACCGCTCCCTCCCAACTTCAGCACTTCTCTGCCAGGCCTGAGTCTCACCCACCACAGCCCTGCCCTGCTGCATCCACACTGTGGTCTATGCACGTGGACACCTGTTTCTCTTCGAGTGAGCACTGACCTCAAGCCTGCATCTTCGTAGTGCGGATGGTTCACCACGGGCCGCAGCGCGGACAGCTTCACACTGGCCATGGTGGGCATGGCCCCCGCGAACACCGCGCCTGCAGGGAGAGGGGCCTCAGGAGGGCACAGGGCCGCCAGGCCTCTTCCCCTATGACTCATCGTCTCAGGGCTCACAGAGCTGAGGCTGGGCGGGCAGACTTGGATTCAGGGGCAGCAGTGAACAAAGCCACATGGAGGCTGATGGGGTGCTGCCCAGGCTTGGGAGCCAGCTGGAAGCTGGAAATCAGCTCCAAGGCTGCTGAGGACTTATTTGCTTTAAAAAATCTTAGCAGTCTTTCCTGCTCCTAAGGAGGAGGTGTCAAAGTGACTGGGAAAGCTTTCTAGCACTAAGGAATTTTCAGCTTCCCTCTGGAAACATGAATACAAGATCACATCCCGTAAGTTAGAGGGACTGTGAAGGACTAATGTGAACATTTCCTCAAGAAAATAAGCATAATAAAATTTTTTAAAATGTAGCATTTACAATTGTGGATGAATTCTGAAAAAATTCAAATTTATGGAAAGTAGCAGAATAAATTATTGAGAAAATATGTGTAGCAGTTCCTTACAAACCACTGAATCAGAACCAACCTGTCCTTGTGTGGGGGCGGGATAGTCCAGAACCAGCACTGCTTAGAAACAGGAAGACCACTGAAGTAACGGGGGAGGACTGTGTACTAACTAGCATGTGAAACAGTAGAAAATCCTAGCTCAATGATGACTTTTTACCTGGTTTCGTATTATATTTGATCCATTCTATCAGTTCTTCTTGGGGCAAATTACTGAACTCCCCCACAATATTCCACTGCGTTTGTAGATTTGCTGACCCTTGAATTGACATTGCTGCTAATACGGCAAACACAACAGCCCCAGGGTGCACTTTGCAAAAGAGCCATCCAAACAGCTGAAACCACAGGAAGAGCACATGGACAGTTGTTAGCACAAAGCAGCACAGATCAACCAGCAAAACTGTCCAGGAAAGAATGCGGTCTTGGCTAGGGCCTCAGGGAAGGATTATCCCAAGGAAACGTGGAAAGGTGCCGGAAACAGTGCTCCCCAGCACCAGAAGCACACTCCCGCAGCTCCCTGCTTGCCATGGTCCAGATCCAGGGGAGGCCAGGGCCACCCGCAGGGCCCAGTGCACAGGGCAAGGCTCCTCGTGCACAGTCACGAGGGAGCAGGAATAGCCCAGGCCGCAGGCAGCACCACAGGCCCTGGGCCTGGCTCTCTGGCCTGTGTCACACTGCAGAATGGGACGCAAGCAGAGCTTCCGACCAGCCTCCCTGGTGCCCAGCACGGAGGCCGGCACAGGACAGTGGAGCATCCCACACAGCCCGGCCTGCAGTGGGGAAGACGCACAGCCTCGCTCGGTACCAGCGCTGTCTCCGCTGCTCCCTCGGGCATCATCTCCCTCGGGTCCGCAGGGTGGACTCCCAGAGGGCAGACACACTTGGCTCTGTGATTTTCCACCTGCTGTTCTCATTCCACCTGTGGGCCCTGTGCTGCTCTGCACCGTGACTGGTTGGCTGACCAGCAGGTGACAGGACGAGGAAGCTCAGAGCAAGGAGGCAGGAAAACCAGCAGCCACTAGCCAGGGACAGTCAACTATCCTGTCAAAAGTGGGAATCAGGGGATGCATGCAAATGCGTGCTCAGTAAATGAAATAAAGTTTAAGCCTGACACTAAGAACAATGTAATTTAAAAGTCCTTATAACTTGAAATCAATTGTTAGGGTCCCCTGTGATGTGAATGTCAAGAAAAAATCACTTCTGCAACTGAGCTCTGCTTCCCTCCAGCACTTGTGGTGGTCGCTCTCAGTCAGCCTGAGCTGACTGAGTGTCTGCTGTTGGCCAGGACTATTTTCAAGGGTGGACAGACAGCGACCAGGTTTGGATTCTCCCTTTAGAAAGGGAGAGTAAAAACCACGAAGAACTTCAAACACAGTGACTCCCAACCCCGAGCAGCGGAGCCGTATCTCAGGGCCACTCAGTGCCTGGGAGTGGGGTGATGGGACCACAGCAGCTACGGCCCCACCACAATGGAATGGCCGAGTCACCTGTCGAGAGCAGATCAAGGAAGCCATCACACACAGGTGTGGTGTCAAGAAGAGCTTCAGCCTCATAATCAAAATGCCGAGGGCTGTGTAGGCCAGCAGCTGCAAGGCGTGATAGACCAGCTGAAAGAGAGAAAAGGGAAACATAGTATTCCTACTCTCTGTGAAGGTTAAGAATATACAGTTAAACCGGTTAGTATGCAGAAAGGGGTAGTTTTCTTAACTAACAAAAATTAACATTAGGCTGATTTCTGAAATTTCTAACACAATTCCTAAGATTCACTTTCAAACTGCACCACTTCAGTAGAAGGCTAAAATAACGTAACTAAGGCAGGACTTGTGTAGTCCCACTGAGTCAAGCCTGTCGTTGATAACCGACCTGGGTGCTACCATCAGACCAGGCAGGACAGCAGGGAGAAAGGCCTGCCGCCCGAACTGCAGGAAGGGCTGGGTGTCCAGGGGACAGCAGCGGCGGGCTCATCACAGAGCCGCAGGCAAGGGAGCAGACAGGAAAGGGCAGTGTGGCAGGCCAGGGCCCTCCCTCCCTCCCCGAGCTGGGCTCCGCTGTAGGGATTACCCGGCAGGCCAAGAGTTTCCTACTTCACGGCCTTAGAAAATGAAGGAGCAGTGAGTCTGAGTCATTCTCACGAAAGCGCATACCGGTACTGCACAGATGATTAATGATAATTGCCAACAAGCCTAGAAACCAGAACTAGAAAGCCCAAGCGTATGCCAACACCAAGACGAGTAAAGTATTAGCAATGCTAAGTCTTTACCTCTCCATGATCAAACCGGTGCTTTCTGAAATGGAAAAGAACACTGCTATTGAGTCATCATTGAGCACTTACTTCATTTATTTGCATTTTTCTTGTGACTGATTTACAATGGCTATAGTATTCCCCAGGACACATGTACATCAAAAGAACTAAGTCACATACCAAAGCTAGCACTACACCCAGGAAGGCGGTCTGCTTAAAGACCATGCTGCACTGTGCGTGGGTATTCACAAAGCCAGCAGCAGCGCCCTGCAGAGTGCAGATCCTCCTGGTGGTGCCCATCCAGGCAAGCAGGGAGTGGAAAGCACCCTGAGGCTCCCGGATCCTCTGCTCCCCATGGCCCCCACATGCCCTGGCTGCGGTGGAGAAGCTACAAAGGCTCCGGGGCACTGTTGTGGGCAAGGCCACCAACGGCCCAGCCCTACCTGTCCACCACTGAGCCTCACCCACAGTGAGCAAGACCACTAACCCCGGAGATGCTGTGCCCTTCCTCACGCAGAAGGCCCTGGGAAGCCCCGCAGCTCCTGGACAGACACACACACACCGCCCCACCGCTTCCCCTGCACACGCACTTCCTCCTGCATCCCTCGCCTCCCGCCCAACTCAGCCCGAACAATGCCAGCAAGGCCTCTGGCTGGCGCTCCCACCCTTCCAAACTGAGCACGAAGCCTACTCAAACTGAAAACTCCACAAGGCTCAACTGTCTCCTGTAGCTCTTTCTACAGGAGTCTTCCTTGAAGGGATAGTTCTGCCCCATTTCCTCTTCCGGAGCTGCACGCTACAGTAGCTCCAACTGTGTCTTCTTCTCAAGCTCTTCGGAAGTAATCTCAGCTCAAATGCAGAGAAATGCTGGCAATACAGACTAGAAGTTTTTTCCTCTTCCCTGTCTAGCAATCCAATGCCTCAGATCCAAGCAAGGGCACAGCTATGCAACGTATTTCTAAACGAGGGCAAGGGTGCCCACGGGGCGGTGTGGTGCCATTTGTCATGATGCTGGCAGGGCTGGAGACCAGGAGGCAGCCTGGGCATGTTCGAGTTGTAAGGGAGAGTGGACATGCACAGTGTCATAACTCCTACCTCCCAAATCACACAAAAGAATGAAAGTAGAACTACAACCTCCCCCGCTCAATTCTCTGCTCCTCAAGCCTAACAGTTCCAGTTTCACTCCTTCCAAAGTGCTCCTGTGCACAAAGAAACATAGAAATCTCTGTATTTAAGCACAAATGCAATTAGCTATCTTACACTGATTTGGCAACTTCTTCTGTGATGATGCACAGTGGAGCTGTTTCTATGGAGACCACTCCGTGACTGGACCGCGACGGAACAATTCCTCGCCATGTTGGAGGCTGAATTTTCCCAGTGACACACTACTGCACTAGCACATGTGTGCACCAGCATCTCTGCACTTCTGTGAATGTCTCTAGAGGATGCGCTTGTGCAGACAAACCGCTGCCTACTGAACTGCCCTCCTGTTTCTGCACGTCCTGGTATGCACCGGGCACCACTAATTGAGGTAAAAGGCTGTCCACATGGACTTGAATGTGCTGTCACAGGATGGGGACCTTCCCAGGTGCCCACCACTCATATTTAAACACTTATCCACCTGCTACTCTGCACAGGGGTTGAAGAGCAACGGTCCCTCCCTTCCAGAGACACAGGTAACACATCTGCATCCAAGCACAAGAGTGGACAAGTGAGCAGAGTGCAACCCAGGGCACGCTGGTGCAAACTCCAGGCCCGGGGACGCGGCCCTCGGATGAGGAGAATGCCAGGTGAGCAAGGACAGAGAAACTAGCCCTCCAGCGGGCCAGGCTGTCACAGGGCGAAGGGGCCACAGCAGTGGGCACAGGGTCCCGCAGCTGCAGAGAAAGGAGGCCCAGCGGCACAGGTGCTGGGGGCAGGAATGGGCACCAGGATTTTCCTCAGCCATCTTTCTGTGTGTTTCATTCATTCCCCAGCGCGATTTTAGCATTTTTCTTAACTTTGAGAAGCTCTTTACATATGATTGTCATCAGTCCATCATACACTGCAAATATTTTGTGTTTTCATTGAACAATGTCTGTGGAATCTTCTACATCTGAATGTACTTGGGCAGCTCTGTCAACATTTCCTTCGGGCACGTGTTAACATCCTGCCTCCAAAGCCTTTCTACCTGGGACTATATGCAAATTTTCTTGCTTAATTTCTGGCTTTTAAAATTTTACTGTATTTCAATCTTTGCTCCATTTGGAATTTATATTGTATAAAATGTAAGGCATGGATCCAGTTTTATATTTCCTTTTTCATATTGAAAAAACCAGCTGCCCACTGGTCCCCAAACCCCTGAGAACACCTTCTCGTCCCTCCGGGCGCCCAGGGACGGGTGTGACGTTCTGTGCCCTGCCTGGTGGGGAGGAAGGAAGAAGCTGGGGCACCAGGCAGACCTCACCTCCCACGCGGAAGGACGAAAGCCCCGCACTGCGGCAGTTTATACACAAACAGGAGCCACAAAATGCTCAAGAGCATATTTACCTTATCTGTGTCTGCTGTTTGGCTAAGACATTCCACATATCACTAATAATCTGTAAACAGATTTTTAAACAGTTTAGAAATGCTGTTTTGAGAAAAAACAAAATTTTAACAAGTATCTTCTCCATTTTAAAAGCTGTTAACTAAAAGCGAGACATGAGAGAACATCCGCAGTGCATCACCGGGGCAGCATAACCTCGGACACTGTCACTCGCAGCCGCGCTGACACACTGCCCTGTCCTGCGCACTCGGCAGTCACTGGCCCAGGCCTTGTCCTGCCCGCACGGGGCTCTGCCGCTCAGCCCTGGCTGCGACCCACCCCGCGCTGGCAGGAACCAGCAGCTGCCGCCGCCTGAATGTGCACCTCCTGGTCCGTTCCGGGCCCTACCTCCTGGTATCGGTCGTCACTGTAAGGAGCCAGGATGAACATAATCTAATTTTCCAGGGATAGGATTTTAAATATTTCAAAATAATTCTCTCTTTCTATCTGAATCGGGAACAGCAGCTTCTTTAAGCTGGCTTTGCATCCAGGTTGCTGTCTTTTGAACATTCTGGATGGCCGCTGTCCGGCAGGCTCTTGAGTATTTGTGAGGTCTAACCTCCTAGGGGCACAGAAGCGCCCTGCGGCACAGAGCCCGGCACCCCGGAGCTGCACACCTTGGTGCCCACGGGGCCCACACTTGCCACCCTGACCTTCCTGCCAAGCGGGGTGATGGTTTCTGTTCTCCCACAGGGCTGCCAGGAACCAGCAGCAACGCACTCGCTGTGAGGACGTTCCCGGGAGGACACAGCACCCCGCAGATGCGTCACGTGGACAGTGACCTCAGCACCAACCACACTCCAAACACAGGACGCCTGCTGCAGCCACCTCAGCCACGCCCCCCATCAGAATGCTTCAGGCTTTGCCTCTTTCCCCATCACAGATTAAGCTCGACCCATTTATTTAAGACACCTGTAGCTGAGAAGGCCAAAGTATTACAAACCAGAGTATCACACCTGCTTTTGTTCCCTAAGCACTGGTGCTTCTCTCTGACGCCTGGGCTTAGGACATGACTGTCAAAGCCAACCTGGAGATCAACACACTTCTAACTACTATTTCTTCTTTGTGTTAATAAGACACACAATCTAGGAGTTAATGGACACTGCACATTTAGGAAAGCACATATGAACTATTTTAGGGAACTATTACATAACACTTAAAAACAAGTCAGTAATAATTAAATAGGCAAAACCAAGTTGCATGTAGGTCTCTGATCCTGACTTTCAAAATACACACAGCTATCAAAACTCGGTTCATCCCCTTCCTCTATTTACGCTGGAAGATAGCAGAACTGTCTAAGGCTTGTGAACACTCATCAAAAGCTGTCGGAAAGAAAACACAGAATATGCCTCAATACATCAACACAAAACACTTTGACAAACTCTAAGTCACTAAGTAGATGTGACTGCTACATAAGAACAAGAACATGTCTTATTAGGAAAGCGCTAGCGCCAGACATACCTTTCTGACAATTGCAATAAACACCACAAGGACAGCAGGAAGCAACAGTGTCTTTGTATACCTCACGGGGGTCTGAAATTCAGAGACGCTTTGTTTAGAGGAAAACATGATTTAACCAAACACAATTCAGTTCAAATAACAGAACAGGTGAATTTCCAAAGTATAAGTAGGGAAAAATGAAATATTCAGACATCAAGGGTCCCATTTACCCACTGTCTCCCATTATAAAAATGATTGTGTATTTCCATAAACAAATTTCAGCTAGTGTTGAGGAGAAAACACTCGAAGTGCACTTCCCAGACACTTGTGAGTGTGCAAGGTGGCCAGAGGGTGATCTCTACTTTCTGCACACTGCGGATCTGGAGTCTGACTTCCTGCCCACCTGGTAAGTAGAGTGTAAGTGGATAAGTTTCTCTCTGCATTTCCTGGGGTACGAAAGTCTGAAGCCACCACACACACACACACACACACATGCATGCAAGTGCACACACCCCAAGAGAACAAAAAGGCATTTTTACATTTTCTTTAGCGAATGATAATGTTTTTAATAACAACGTCCTACAGACTGCAAGCCTGTCTTGATTTCTAGCCCAAACCCCTGATAAATTTTGCTGTTCTACACTCCACATGTATCGACTGCAGGCAGGTACGACCGACTGCAGGCAGGTACGACCGACTGCAGGCAGGTATGACCGCATGCTGCACCCCTCCCATGCACACCACCCCTTTCCATATCAACAGCCTCACGCCAGGGGTGCTGCAGTAAGTCTGCCCCTGGTCCCCAACAGGGATGAGCCACGAAAGGGCCACACTCCTGCACTGAGCTCTCGACAGGAGTCCCTGCAGCTGGACACCTGAAGAGATGGGAATGGCACAGGGAAGACTGCGCTGTTTCTCTGGGCGGCTGCTCACTGAGCCTCACAAACAACACCTTTCATACAGAGCTGACAGGCTCCTTGGGCGCAGCAGCACGCATGATGTCCTCAATGATGCTAAGGGACTTGTGCCACGTCTGCACTCCCCACTCATGTTTCCTTTCTATTTCTGCTCCCACTGCTACCATTCCCTTGAAGGAGTCTTGAATGCTTATGAACATGCATTTCGATGTCTAAGAGATACTCTTCCTTTGAGTCTTTCAACAGGGGCAACTTTTATCATCAGGCATTGTATGTCAAAACCCTAAACACAGTAACAGAAGACTAGCAGGCCACTAGGGCAAGCATGACACCTGCAGAACACCTGCAACTTCAAATGGTGGCACAGACCACATGCAAGAGGACTTAGGGGAAACGGAGGTGGCAGTACAGGGCTACCAGCAGTTTAATGACACACACGTGCACCACTAGAGGGCCATAAAATATTAGTGCCACGCGGATGGTGTTTAAAAGGCAAAAACACGTCTGCGGAACCAAAACAGCTGATAAAGTACTGTAAAACAGTATTTTATTTAAAATATCAAAGCGCTTTTCTGGCTTATCTCACTCTGTCTCCACGTCTGTTGGTAATGGATTACCAGAAACTGGTAAACTGCAGCACAACAAATGCGAGCCAATGGCTCAAGACCAAACAACCTTGCAGACTTCTGTCTCACACTCCACTGACCTACTCTCTGATTTCCTTCTGCACAGCTGAATAAAGTTTTAGAAAGAGAAATGTTGTTGGGATGAAAAACTTGTGCTCAATGATATTTAAAAGCAATAAGGGGCTGGGGATTTAACTCAGTGGTTTCACCGCCTGCTGCGCAAGCACAAGGACCTGAGTTCGATCCCCAGCACCAAAAAAAAAAAAAAAATTAAAAGCAATGAGATCATTCAAAGAACCAGAAAATGAATGGGAGGGAAGGTAGGGGTTGTGTGCTGGGCCAAAATACCAGCGCCTCTGAAGAGAGGCGACTAGAAATGCGTCCGTGTTCACACCCCAAAATGGTGGCTGGTCTGAATGCATTATTTCCAAATTATCCAAACGAAAAGCAGCCGCGTATTTCAGGGAGCTGCACTAACGTCAACAGGAACATTTTTAAGCTGCCAGATCTTCCTTTTCCTTTCAGTTGAGATGCAGCACGTACAGAATCTGAAATAGCTGCGTACCCTTCATGCACGATGAACGGACCGAACCGAACCCTCGGGAACAGAGCCAGAAGTCACGCCTTACCTCCTTTTCCATGAAGTCAAACTCTGCTGCACAGGAATACAGTAAGGTATCAAAATCCTTGTAACTGAAGAATTTTGATGTTAATAAGTTGCCGATATGAGCCTGGTAATAAACAAAGAAGAAGCCACGACGGTAAGCCAAATGTCGTGACAATGCGACTCTCTCAGCAGCTCCAGGCAGCTTTCACTACATGACGGAGCCCACTGTCCCCGGCTGGGCCCCAGCTCTGCGTTCCGCCTCTTGGCTGCCAGGTTCCCGCTGGCGAGCAACAGCTCCCCCAGCACCCACCGTCCCCTCTCTTGGGGACCAAGGCTTCGACCTCCCGTGGTCCCCGCTCACGGCGCGAAGCTGGGGAAATAGCCGCTCGGCCTCTCCTGGCTGGGCCCCAGCTCCCGAGCCTCCTCTGTTCCCCTCCCCAGGGCCTCAGGTGCGGGTGCAGAGGGAGGCAGCCCTGAGCCGGGGCGGAGCCGGAAGACAGCGCAGCGTGGAAGGAGGGAGCCGCGGCTGGACCATCGGCCAGTCCCAGCCGGCCAGTGCCAGTCGGGGCCACTCCCGCCACGCCGCCAGCCTCCCCCGCAGCCACGCGGACCGCCCACGGAGAGCAGAGAGCCGGAAAGGTGCGCCCCGAGTCTGAGCTGTTCTGGTTTAAATCTGTACGCTCTCTGAGATACAGAAGGATCAACTAAATAGGAGAATTGTGTCGAGAAACTTACTTTGGAAAACAAGAATTATATACAGAACTATATTTGCTTTCGATTAGATTAAATAGATAATATCACGAGTGAACAGGCTTCATGCTAGAATCTGGTTAGGAAAATGGTACTTTAATAACTCAATTTGTTCCCAGCATGTTTGTTTCTTTCACTTCTTTCACATTTAAGTAAAAACGCACTTACATCATCTGCAATGCCAAAGAGTCTGGAGGTCAAAGACTTGAGTATAATGGTTCCAAATAACCAAAAGCACCCTTGGATAACCTACAAGAGAAAATAAGATATAAAAAAACTAACTTTGATGCTTCCAACTGTACAGCCTATGAAGTGAAAAATAAATGCTTCAATTACATATCAAATAAATATACCTCTAAGGAAAACAATGCTGTCACCACATTTGAAATAAATGTATCACTAAGAGAAAATGATAAAAATGCATTTCAGTTTAAAATGAAGTTGCTCCAAAATCAAAAGCTATAACCAAAAATACATATATACAACCTTATGAGCAAAATTAATATATTTCTTTGGAGATTCACAGAGGAATTGCACTGAACTCTCCTTCTAACCTCTGTATACATGTGCTTGTTCCTCAGAAGAAACATGAGGGTAATAAAATAAAAGTGGGAATCTAACTGCTTGTCCCTGATTAATCTTAACTTGCTTCCTGAAAAGGGCAACCTGGCACGTTAAAATTGAGCCTGACTATGTTATGAAACTGTTAGATCCCCTGCATAAAAAATGAAACATGAGTAAAACATAAAATGAATTATAGATTTTAGAGAAGAAAAGATGTATGCATTAAAATAGAGGGATTCTTACCCATAAACAAAGTTCAGACACATTTATTCTCAGAAAATGTGGCTTCATTGCCAGCACACCCTGAACAGAAAAAAACAATGGTCAAAACTTACACTCACAAACACAAAAACAGTTACTCTAAATAATTACACCTTCGAGAATCTACAATCCAGCACTCTGATGACTTCCCACACGATATCACAACATGCTCCTGTCTACTGTCAATGATTTCAAAAACTAGCTTTATTTTACCCAAAGGAGAGTAGGTCAGTTAATAGCTTTGTAAAACTGAAAAGAGAATCACCAGATACAAATTTCCAGGACAGATTTTTAGATTTGTCTAAAACCCAAGAGGTATATTAATGTCATAATTTCAGTCAGACAGGCACAAAATTTTCCTTAAGCTAAAAGTTCCTAACTCTTGGGATGAACCAAGGGATGCAGGGGAGGGGAAGACCTGAGACGTGTTGGGTCCACGCACCAACTCTCCACAATGAATGTAATCCTCATGTACTGCAAACGTGTACTAATAAAAAAGTGAAAAATGAATAGAACGATTAACTGCTTCTCTGTCAAACCCGAAATCTTTCTGGGTACACAGACACACAAACTATACTACCTTTAGGGAGCTAAACCCTCTTCAAACTTAGCAAAAATATAGCTAGAGATCAAGATACAAATACTATGAACTCAAATTAAAACTTAAAGAAATTTTCTGAAGATTTGAGAACACAAAATATGATACAATTCAGGTTTCGAATGATGAGAAGCAGGTAAACCTAGCATGTGTGTGAAGGGAACGTGCATATACACACACTATATTCTACAATCCTGGGGACCCGTGTCTTATATGCCAAGGCACAGGAAGTATGCATGCACATGCTTCTTCATTCATGCCCAAGCTACACCCTGCTGACTAGCACCTAGCGGAGTGCCTGACATCCTGAGCTATGAACTGAAATCAGAGACACTTCTCCAAAACCTACTTAAATCTTATCCACATGCACCCTCCAGCTCGACAGCTTCCCATACACAGGCACACAGAGTCATGCCTGTAGCCTGCATAGTAACAGCACTTGCCACTGTATCCACATGAATACAGGCCTGAGGGTACTGTCTCATCTCCTCGTTACAAAATCCCTGAGTCTAAGTAATAAACAAAGCACAGCAACTCCACTGACGACTTCTGCTGTTGCTGAAAACTCAGCTTCAGCACATGCTAAGGGCCCATTTCTGGGCCTAAATACAATCACATCATACACATGACAAAGACGGTGGCTCAGACAGGGAAAAGGCACATTTTTGAGAAACAGGTTTTTGAATAATCATTATTTGTAAAATGGAAAAACTAGGAGGCTTCAATTTTTAAAAAATAAGTTTGAGAAATCAAGAAAGCCAAAAAATGATCCCAGTAACTTAAATTGCTCAAAAAGTACAATACCTTCCAAGTAAGACAGTGGAAGACATGGGCCCGTGGGCGTTAGGCAGGATTGACCAGAGGGAAAAAGGCAAACTGCCTCAGACAGAGGTGACTTTCATATTTAGCCTGGCGGCGACAAAGGGAAAGGAAACACAGACACCTTCCCAAACAGGCCTGGGACCACAGCAAGGGCAAGAGAAGATGGGACAGCAAGGCAGGGCAGGGTGGCTGCGGGACCAGCGGCTGTGCTTCCCGATTGCGCTGCCCGCAGGCTCCCACTCTGGCCCCTTGGAGTGAACGCCTGGCCACCGCACCACACACAGATGGTTTCGGAGGACAGGCGACATGGGGCCTGGGGCTGCCCCTGTGAATTCCAGGCCGGGCAGAGCATAGATTCCACCACACCCCTGTCAGCCCTGTCCCTAAGCAACACTTACCCAAACAGTGACCAAAGAGGAGGCATAATACGACGTCAGCAGCATTGAGTTCCCAAACATCAGAACAAAACACAGTGCAAGAGAAAGCTGCGAAAATCCAAGAAAAAATAGTTAATGCACGGAAGACAAGTGAAACAGTGACTGTAAGAATCACACAATGATAAAATGCTCAAGATAAACACAGGACCCATACTGAAGACAGCACACTCTCATCCCACACTTCATGCCCAGAGACCCTCGGGGATGGATTCCTGGGCATCCTCCCCGGAAGCACCAGGAGTCACATTTAGTTTGTATTTTAGTTCAAGGTCATATACGGGAACCTACACATGAGCTGTACTGTCTCTCGCTTCTACTCTTACTATGTTTCAGAAGGCTTTCCGTATCAGTCCAACTCAATCTCTCTCTCTCTGAGCCATTCTGTTCTATAGATGTGTCATAAATCATTTAATTAGCTCTCTGGGTACTGCTCAACATTTATGCTCTTTCGAGGTCTCTTTTGTATTGTTTTGTTTTTCCTGTTAAGATGAACATCTTTACATGTACATCCTATGAGACTTGTCACAAATTACAGACATAGCTCCTTATTAAGCAAACACACTGCAAATATTTTTCCGTTTCGTTTTTTTACTTTGTGTTATTTTTGTACTATCATAAATTTTGTTAGTCAAATTTATCATTCATTTCTTTTAGGTTTTCAGGATTTATCTCCATAACTTAAAAAAATCCTTTCAAAATAATTCGTATTTTCTAGAAGCTTTATCTTTCATCAATCTATACATCAATTTCCATGTGAATTTTAGAATCAGCTTCAGTTTCAAAAACTAGTATTTTTATTAAAATTATTTAATAATGTTCATTATCTGATGCACTGTATCTACTACCCGCTACTCAATTTTTAGGCCCCAAACCAATGTACATTGTTATCATTTCTTTTTCTACATACAATGGTAAGTATAAAGTTTTCCTCAGACAGACCCTGTATACTTTCTGTTACTCTAAAGTCTATTGTCTCTTGCTGTGTCAGGAAACCTTCTGTCATATTTCTGATTACCTGTACACAGAAGTGAAGTATGTATCAATGAATATAATCTTTCGCTGTTTCTAGTTGTATTTTATTACTTTGGATTCTTGGGTACTCAAAATCATTATCATCTGCAAACAATGACACTTTTATATCTTTTCCTATTTTGAAACTTAATTTTTTAGTCAATTGTATTCTTGATATTTCTGCAGTCCAAGTGGTAAAAGGCATATCTGTCATGATTCGGGGTTAATGGAATAGTCCCATTGATTTATCGTCTTGTGTGATGATAACTTTTGGTTTTAAGAGTGTGTACATATTTCAAACTTCAATGAAATCTCTATTTTTACTTGATTAAGGTCTTAAAATTAGAAATAGATGTTAACTTTTATCATCTGCTTTTAGAGCATCAAAGGAAATGATCATCCTGTTGATATTGTAAAAACCTTTATGTGATAAAATGTAATAGAATCCCTAATGGCAGAATATTAATGTATTTCTGGAAGGACTTTTACTGTAATATTCTATTGTTATATACTTACTAAGTAGGTAAGTAATTAAATTTTCAACATTTTATGACAATAGTTTTTGGCTGTAAGTGCTCAAATTTAAGACTAGTTCTAAAATTTCTCCTCCTGGTTATGGCAAAAATTAGGAAGATAATATTACCTCAAATAAATGGATTCATGACCCCAAAACAGTCAAAACAATGTGAAAAGTATTGAAAAGAAAATGTAAATTAGTATTAAGAAAAGAAGTTCCAAAGATCCCAACATGTGTATCAGGCTGAATTTAGTAAAATATATATTAAGTTCTTTAAAAGAATCCTGAAATTGCTGAAATTATCTCACTGTTGACAGAAATTGATATACAGCTTTTATGGTTAATCAAAGGAAAAATGAGATAAATATCACAGAATCATTAAGTGTGAAAAACACTGTTCCTCTGGCTTTGTTTACAAAATTACAATATGATCTCCAGTTAACTCTACAGCCCTGTTTAGAATTTCCTGATGCAAAGCACCATATGCTTCAAACCTGGACTGAAGAATAAAGTTTCAGAAGGAAGAAAGACATTCCACAGTAGAAGGGAAGGCTCCATCCTGAAGGAGGAGGCTAGTGACAGACAGAAGAGCTCAAACGTGAAAAGCAAGTGTTAAAGAACGTGCACGCACTGGACACTACGCCACAGGATCTGCTAATGAACTGGATGCGAGGGTTTAGAAACAGCAGTGGACACAAGCTCTGCTTCAGCACCACTGGGTGCTAAACGTAAGTCAACAAATTCTCAAAATTTCATGACAGTAAGTGCTAAACTCTGAGACTAACTACTAGAGGGTTAAATTTGTCATTAAATAAGAGGAAATATTTGGAAGGAAATTGATTTTGTCAGGGGAAATCAAAGGCTTGGTTTAGACAGGGTTTTTTTTTTAATTTGTCAAGTAAGTTTTGTATATTGATTGTGTACCATGTTACTCTGCCAAATTAGGAAAGACAAAACAAAAAATCCAAATTAGGAAGGAATGAGCAAAATGACTTCTGTGCAGGATATTATTTTATAAGAGAAAAAAACTCAAAAGTTGCACACAAAAACAACTTAGACATTTAGCAGTCAGCATACAAAGTCAACATATAAAAACTGAATTTTTTACAATAACAACGAATGATCTGAAAAGTAAATAAAGAAAACAACAGTAGCATCGAAAAGAATAAAATACCCCATAATTAACCAAAGATTTATAAAGCTCATGAAATGGAAGCTACAAAGCATTCCTCAAAGAAACTAAGGCATAAATAATGGAAAGAAACCCAAGTTCATGAATTAGAAGATCCATTTTGTTAAAACGCTAAGAGAATGTATCTGCAACATGTGTGTATGATAAGGGTTGGCAACCAGAATCTATGCAGGACCCCGACACTCCATGCAAGGATAACCTAATTCAAAACTGAGTAGCTAGAAAAGACTTCCCCAAAGAAGATACATAAATTTCAAAGAAGCACACAGAAAGGTCTTCAACATAACGAGTCGCAGGAAAGCGTAAATCAAAACGACACTGGCAGTCCTGAGTAAGGGTCGTAAGAGTGGCACACAGGTCCTACCAAGGAAAGAGGGCAGCAAGCTGATGGATCCCACTTTTTCTTAGCTCTGACACAGAAGAGCAGTCACAGCCGGCCCGAAAGGAGAGCCAGGTGGACACCGAGAACCAGAACCGCAACTCACTGGAGCAGAAACCCATGAACAGAGCCCCTGTGGGAACCAGTACGAGAACAGGCAAACCTAGACGGCCGGTAGCACCCTGGGAGGCAGAGGCAGGAGAATCACAGTCCACCCATCAGCAATTTAGCAAGGCCTGGTCTCAGAATAAAAAATAAAAAGGGATTAGGATGTAGCTCAGCGTGAAGGCCCTGGGTTCAATCCCCAGTATCCCCCCAACACACACACAGACCTAGTAGGAAAACCTGATGTATAACTGCTGACTGCTGGAAGGTCAGTATGGACAACTCTGAAAGCTAAAACTCCAGTAAACCCAGGAATAGGGAGGTGCCTACATATTTGTGAATTTTGTCTCCAAGAACTCTACAAGGTCCTCACAATAAGTATCAGAGGAAAAAATCATTGAGCCTCTGCACGGAGAGGGGAAAGGTACTATTGTGAAATATGCCAGAACACTCTTGCCTAAGGAAGAAATTATGTCAACTTCTGACAGTTGCCTCTGGAAGACGGAAGTAGAGAAAATACTTTCTAGCTTATCTCTGAGGCCAACATTAGCCTAGCACTAAATCAGACAATGACATTACAAAGAAAGTACAAGATAGTATCTCTCATGAATACGAATGTAAAAAAACAATCCACAGGGCCAGGGATTTAGCTCAGTGGTGCTGCTGCCTGCCTTGAAAGCACAAGGTCCTGAGTTCAATCCCCAGTACCAAAAAAAAAACAAACCCAATCCACAAAATATTAGCAAATAAAATCAAAGTGTACGTAAAAAGAATCATATGCCACAAGCATGTAAGAATTATCCCTGGTATTTGAGGCTGGTTTAACCTTTAAAAAACGATGTAGGCTGAAGAAAAAGTACATGATCATATCAACAGATGCAGGAAAAATTATGACAAAAATCCAACATGCACTCATGGTAACACTCATGATAAAAACTAAAAACACTAGGAAAAGGAAATTTCATCAGCTGATAAAGTTCACAACAAACCTACAGCTAGCATGATCTTGGCAGAGAGACTGAAAGCTTTCCCACAGCCTGGAAAAGCCAAGAAGGTTCCCTTCCTCTATTACTCCTCAGCGTCGTGCCAGAAGGTCGAGAACACACAGCAAGAAAGGGAAATAAAAGGTACAAAGATTGCAAGGGAAGAAATAAAACTTGAAGAGATGATATAATTATTTATGAAAAATATCCAAAAGAATCAGCAAAGCTTCTTGGAACAAATAAGGAATTAGGGCAAGGCTGCAGGACACAGGTTACAGTACAAGTCCACTGCTTTCCCATCTACAATGATGAATAAAGTGGATAACACTGCCATTCACAACTAGCACCCAAAAAGATGAAATGCATGTAAGCCTAACAAATCATGAATGAGAACTGTTAAAAAAACTGCCAAGCACTGATGAAGAATATCAAGTAAGAAGAAAGTAAATGAAGAGATTCCATGTTGATGGACAAGGTGCCACAGTCAAGACACCCATTCTTTCCAACTTCCTCTGCAGATTCAGTACCACCCAGCACTGTCCAGCAAGTCACCATGTGAGTACGGACACAGTGACCCTAAATCTATACCGAGATGCAAAAGGCCCAGAAGAGTCAACTCAGCATCGAAGCAGGATGAAGTCGGGAGCCTGACACCACTTGACTGTGAGGTGACTAGAAAGCTAAACGGTGTGGCACTGCTGAGAGACAACAGAACAAACAGACAACTGGATCAGTAAAACAAAGTACAGAGGCAGGAAACCGACATAAATAGAGTTAACTGATCTTTGATGAATAATGAAATGGATCAAAAACAGCCTTTTCAACAAACGGTGCTGGAACAAGTGGGCATCCACACACTACAAAAATCAATCATCCACACACCTCCAGCCTTCACAAAAAATGAACTGGACATGGACCTCGGATCTGAAGGTACACCACAGCATCATACACTCCCAGGGGCTAACGTCAGAGGGGCTCAGATGGCCACAGATACGGTGCTGACTCTAAGATACACCCGAGCACAGCCTGCAAAACACACAGCTAAGGCTGGGCTGCATCAAGTTGTCACCTCCCGCTCCAAGCAAGACCAGGTTGAGAGAACAAGGAGGCAGGCCGTTAAGGGTCCGAAAAGGGCATGTCTGATAATGGCCACAGCACACAGAATTCTTCAAAACCAACGATCAGCAAATGGAAAACAGCAACAGGCCTTGGCAGACATGATACCAAACAAGTCCGATAGATGGCACAGAAGCCCCTGAGAACCTGTTCAGCAGCAGGGGACCACCACAAGTCGCCTCCCCTGGCCACTGAGACAGCTGAGTCCTAACAGGCAGCATGAGCAGGGCCGGACAGGGTCAATGGGGCATCAGCCACTGCCGCGGGACTGAAAACGGCCGGTCGCTCTGCAAGGCAGTTGGCGACTTCCTTAGCACTGCATACACTCTAACTGCATGACCCAACAGCCACTCTCCTTGGTATTTAGCCAGGGAAGTTAAAGCCTCTGTTCTACATAAAAAACTACAGGCAAATGTCCACAACAACTGGGTTCATCACTGACAAAACTCAGCATTTACCGAAACATCCCTCCATTGGTGAAGGGATAAACTGGCACTGTCTCATCATCGAAATGTTTTTCAGAGCTATAAACAAGCCATTGAGCCATGCAAGGACTTGCAGGAAATGTAACTGCATTTCACTAGGTAAAAGAAGCCAATCTGAAAAGGCGACATACCATGTGACTCCAAGGATGTGACACTCTGCAAAGGCCAAACTGTGAGACTTCAAACAGAGCAGAGGTTCCTAGGAGCAGGGGAAGCAGGAGGTACAGGTCTCTGGGCGTGGTTTTACAGCGCTGGGCACATGTCCTCACACACTTGTCCAAACCTGCAGGAGGCAGAACATGCAGGGTGGACCCTCATGCATTCACACGTAGGGTGGACTGGGTGAGGGAGGTGTGTCACCGCGCGTCTACCTGCTTTAAAAGTCATGGACATCCACAGTCGGAAAGGATATCAACGAACAGGGTAGGAAACATGAAAGCTGGGCTTTCTGCTCGATTTTGCTACAAACCTAAATCAGCTCTACGAAGTAGTCTTTTAATTATAAGCAAACAAAAGCCACAATGCAATAACACTTCATAGCCATCAGGACGGCCATAATAAAAAGAAATAAATGCTGAAGAAGACACAGGGAGATCAGAAGCCATGTGTACTGCTGGTGGGAATGGAAATCGGAAAACAGCATTACAGTTCCTCAGACAATTAAAAACAGAGTTCCATGTGCCCAATCCTGGGATGCACTGTGGGCATACACTCAGGAGAACAGAAACCAAGGTCTCAGAGAGATATCTGACCCTCGTGTTCATACTGGCGTAAGTAAGACCTATAAACCACCCAAGTGTTCACAGACAGATGAATGGATAAATAAAATACAATGTGCACCTACAGTCCATGAAAAAGAAGAGTGCTGATCCATGGTACAACATGGAAGAAACATGAGAACATTATGCTAAGTGAAATAAGCCAGTCACAAAAAGACAAATACTGAATCGTTCTACTTGCGTGACCAATACATAGTATAAGGGAGTTCAAACATGACAGAAAATAGAATGCTGGTTTCCAGGAGCTGAGGAGAGGGGAGAAGAAGCTGCAGTCTGTGGGATGAGCTTCAGGTTGCAAGAAGAAAAGAATTTGGAGATCAGGGATGGTAATGCTCTGTGGTACCACAACAAAAATGGAAAAGTAAGTATTTCTGAGGTAATTCTGTATTCTGATGTAGTAATAACTTAGTAATTTGTAAACTGGTAATGGAGGGAGACAGAATAGATACTAAATCATATCAAAGCACACACTGCTTTTCCAAGACAGGTTCTACTGCAGACAAAAGCTCTGCAATTTTAGTGCTTTTGTAACTCTTAACCTTGAGTCGGTCCCAACCATAACTGCCTACATGACCACGTGACTGCCCAACTCTGAATGTTTAACATTTATTCTGTTTGTGCTGCAAAGGGAAAAAAAAACTGCAGTAGCCAGTTTGGGAAAAAAATAAGCCAGGTATGTTTTTTAAATGATTATGTAACTCGGTCACAAAGAGAGATGTAAAAATCCTAGAGAAACAACAGGAAATTGAATCTAAAAATACATAAAAATTGTTCTTAGCCCAGAAAAGCAAGTTTCTTTAATGTTAGAAAATCAATTCATCACAGAGACAGATTAAAGAGGGACAGGTAGATCTAAGCAGATGCAGAAAGCCTTTCATGAAAGTTAACACTCACTGACTTCTCTTTTTTTTTTTTGGTACTGGGGATCGAACTCAGGACCTTGTGCTTGCCAGGCAGGTGCGACGCCACTGAGCTCCATCCTCAGCCCACTAATTTATTTTTAAAGGTGTGCAAAGCACAGGACAAGTTGAAAAGGTAGAGAAGGTGGCCTGGCAAGTCTGCTCCAGTCTGAGCAGCAACATGAAACATAAGGACAACGGGTTGTCTGGCTCAGGTGGAGCGGCACCACCTCCCGCCTTTTGGCCTGGAGGGCAGCCCTGCTGTCTGCCTTCTGACTGAGACACAATTTCCCTACCCTCAAATGCCATCTTATATGTATCGTTAGAGAACAAAAATAATGACATTATGTAACAAAAACTATCTGAAAAAAATCCAATTTATTTAAAAATTTCTCTTGGACAGTTGAGACAAATTGGCAAAAGATTTGAATAGGAATATCACAAGAAAACCGGAAACACAAAAGGTCTATAAACACACTAAAACATGCTCGACTTTACTGAGAATCAGAGAAAATGTAAATTAAGGTCACAAGAAACCATTCTATATCATCCAGATTGACAAAAAATTTTAACAATATGTAGAATAACACAGCTGTTATATTGCTGTTTGAAGTAGTCCAATCATTTCAGAAGAAATAACTCTGTAGTTGTGAAGCTGAACACAAGCACAATTCACACCCAGCAAGTCCACTGCTATGCACACCCAGGAACTCTTCACACACACGTATGCCCAGGAGAAGAGGCGCACAGAGTGCACGGCATTATTCATAAAGGAGGCAGGGGACAGCAGAGGAAAGAAGCTAACAGTCCTCTAGCAGGGAAATGGATGAACAAAGTGTGCTAGCCTCATCCACACAGTGTTAAATATAAAGCAGCGAAAACCTCTCAACTCTGGCTGCACGTAAGCCTCAAAAACTTGAGCAAAAGCACAAGTCACAGAAGGACACTGTTGGTGCAAACCTTGAAGACTGTGTCGCTACGCGGTGATAATAAACTGTGTGCTGCTGCAGGAACACATGCAGAGTGGAGCTAAGAAGCAAAGCCGGGTCAGCGGGTTTCAGAGTCAGGACAGAGACTGCCTCGGGTATGCGCAGGGCACCTATGACCTCACAGGAAGGACAAAGCTCTGCTTTGCCTTTGGAGGAAAAACACCTCCTGCTGTTTATTTTCTAACTGTGCCATAACTTCCCTGCGCTTAAATGTCATATACAGGTAGCAATTATTGGAGAGTAAGAAGCAATAATGGCACATTATAAAAATGATCAGAAAAAGAAACCTCTGGTCAAGCTGATGCGGGACAGAGCACGGACATCTTCAGATGCGTCCTCCCGCCCCAGCTCCCGGCCCAGGGCACGCTCCCTGCATGCACTGGCTGCTCCCTGCCCACCGCCTGCTCCCACCCCCAGGGACACCCGCTCTGTACCACCTCTCTGGTCTGCCTTCTTCTTCCTTTCAGTCCTTTGACTCTTACCACTTCCCAACAGGAAATCCCTGCACTGCTCACACAGCTCGCCGACCTCCCTCCTTCCCACGGGGTGCCGGCTGCTGGACCCGGACACTGGTGTCCCCGGGCTTGGACGGCAGGCCTGTGAGATACTTCACTTCACCTAACGGCTGGACAGAGGCTCACACGCCGCCCCTTCCACTGCATTAACTTCTCTTCCCTCAATCAGACAACACGGCTCAAAATCGGGGCCACTGCCGGCGTCACAAGGCTCCAGCGGCTCCTGCTGTGCCTGTGGAAGTCAGGCACGACTAGTTCCAAAGCACAGTCGCATCCTGTCAACCTGAAGATCACACAGCGAGCAAGCCATTACCATGTGTGTATAGATGATCTTCCGTAATTTGCAGACATCAATGTACCCCACAACATACACCACAAACAGCGAGGCAACCTGAAAGTTACAAAGACATCAAGTTAAAAATAAAATCATGTATTTAAAATGAACACCTGTAAGGGTAAACTAAAGATTATTATTGTTTCGAGTTGATTTATATTCGTACAGAAAGCGAGTTCTTTAGTTTCCCCTTGGTCAATTTATTACTGAATATGGTCAACCTACCAAGGCAGTAAATGCGGCTGATTTTTCTCTCCCACACACACCTCTCTCAGTTAACCATGGGAACTGTCTGCTTTGTGAATAAAGCAAAGAACAACTCATTTTAATATCAGGTTGATTCTGCGGTCAACATGTACAATTAAAAGTACCCTGTCCAATAAACAGGTGAAAATGTAATTACAACATAACTATTAATACATAATTGGTGAAGGCACATTAAACTAGAAAATAATTAGGCGATGCATGTTTGTGTAAAATACATTAATTTCTCCTTCTTAGTTACTACTGCAAGTATCTCCATTAGCGTTCTATTTCATTAATATAAATATTCAAGCATTAGTTGCAACCAAATTAAGCAAATTTCAAATTCGAAAGACTTTTACTATGAAGGCATTTTTAATTTTCTTTCTGATTTTGGAGAAAATTATGTTGTTCACTAAGAACTCTAAGAGTACGGGGATGATCTGGCTGGATCAACCAATGACGTGGTGATCCTGGGTCTTATGAAGCAACAGCAGGCAGACAGGGCCTCCAGCACGGTTCCCAAGTCACTCCGCCCACACTCTGCCTCTCTACTGGCTGCAGGGCACTGGCACGCTGCACACCAGACAGACACTTCAACAGACAGCCTAAGTTCCATTCATCCGGTCTCCTATCCCTGTAACAAGTTTTGCCATTAGTAAGAACAACTACAAGCCGTCCCTCCAGGACCTTCGCCAACAGCCATGGGGAGCTGCATGGTTGGGGTGACCGAGAGGACACAGTAACTGTGCGTGGGGGGGTCACTGGCAACCTGAGCCCCACAGAGAGGCAGGATGCAAAAGAAAGACCCCTTCCAGCCCAGGGGCTCAGCAGTGCCCCACACACCTAAGGGCAGAATCAGAGACTCTGGGGGCAGCTGAAACTGGAAATGGTCCTACAGCGTTGTCAGACTAAGACAGAGGAGGAAGTATGTACACATCAAGCCAATTTTTAAAAAACAATAATGACAACCAGTCTCATGAGTGACACCTGCTAACTATCGGGAACTGTGCTGGGGCTCACCCAGGTCACCTCTTCTGATCCTAGAAGGCAAGCTGTTTAATTTTCCCTAGTTCGGAAAGGAGAGAGCTGGAACTAAGAACAGTTAAGTTCTCTGTCCAAGCCAAGAAGCTAGTGAAGAGCTGGGACTCCAATCCAGGTCTGCCTTTACTCCTGAGGCAACACATTCACAACTCACAATGCTAAATAAAATAAATCAGACATAGAAGGTTAAATATTGCTTCTCTTATGAGAAACCCGAAGTATAAATCCTTTAAAAAGCAAAATGAAAAATAAACGACAGTTCTCAGGAAGGTGGAGTGGGGATGGGAAGGGGTCAGGGATGAGGAGGCAGGAGGTGGTGAGGGAGGAGCGTGTAAAGGGCCAGGAGAAGCCGTGTCACCTCCCCATGGCGACCTGAGCACTACGCAGCCCGGCAAACGGGGAAGGTGCTCTAAAAACAGCATCCTGGAATTCACGATTAAAAGCCAATTTCTTTAAAAAAAACAAAAGCATCTAGCTGGGTGCGATGGTGCATGCCTGCAATCCCAGCACTCTGGAGGCTGAAGCAGGAGGACTGCCATGCATTCAAGCCCAGCCTGGGCTACACAGTGAGCCCAGGGCCAGCCTGAACTGTGTATGTACACACATGTCCAGCATAGAAAGAAGCAAAGACAGCAGTGTGGGGACACGAGGTATCGCCCCTGCCCCTGTGGGCTGCCCTCCTCTGTGTTCCTCTGTTGGATGACAGGCAGGAGTATACACCGATGACAGGCACACTGCAAACTGGTACAGGGCGCTATAGAACTGGGACTCGTTAGGTGTTTATCCTATGTGTGAGGCAGTAAGGCAGCAGCCATAAAACAAACACATTTTGCTTACGCGAATACTACAGCTTACTTACTCAAGGGCAATAGTTAGTTACAGCGCTAGACCTCTTTTTAAGGATGGTGACAAATGCTAAGTAATGAAGATGACCACTCTGACAAATCTGAGTTCAATAAATGCATTCTACTAAGTCAGTCAATCTTCTACATTTCCCTACAGTGGACTCTTTAAAAGCATTAACTAGAAAAGTTTTAGGCTTAAATCAACTAACAGCTCAGCTGTAATTTTATGTGAATGATTTCACAAGGTTAAACATGCTAAGCCGAAATCAGTTTTTACCTCACCTGGGTAAGCAGTATAAACTGAGCAAACTGCCACGGAAGCATGAAGAATACGTTGGAGATGCAGAGTGCAATTAGGCTTCCTCTGTAAAGTTTCGCAGCCCTTGAAAAGATAAAATAAATATCAGTAAGTTTATCCACAAATCAGTCTGGCCTGGCTCCAAACTGCTGCAGATCAGGGTCTCAAAAAGGCCCTGAACATAAAACTGAACCACTGAATCAGACGCCGCATCTCCTGACGCTGAGCCGCCACATTTTCCTGGGAAAAGGAAGCACCCATTTTATGTAAAAACCCACAGCCCTCAGGGAGAGGGGCGCAACCGATCAGTACAATCACTGGATTTTTAAACACTGAATTTCAAATCAGACATTTTTAAACAATTCTGTAACCTGACCAGTTGCAACGATAAGATGTCTAACACACGTGACGGGAAGTGGCAGGTTCCGTGCGCAAAGTAACAGCGGAGAGCTCTGCAGGACCTCACAGCCAGGCCCAGGCAGCGGCAGAGAGCTGGGCCGTGGGAGGAAGGCTCGCCTTGTCCTGCCGAGACAGGAGGGATGCGGAGGCGAGGCAGGGCCCACTCCGGAGCTGTCTTCACAGGGGTCGTGACCGGGTGATGGGGCGGGCACTTTCTCCTCAGCCTGGGAGCGGCCGAAGCTCCAAACACCGGCCTCTGCAGGAGTGCAGGGTGCGTGTAACCCCGAGGTGACAGGCAGGCAGCGAGGATGGAGGTCAGGAGCCTCCTGAGGGTTCCCCTCGGGGACCTGAGCATCCAGGAATGCCTCTCTTCACTTTTCCCGAGCCCTTCCCCAAAGGACTACCTTCTCTCTGCTATGGGACCGAACCAAGCATTCCAAACATGGTCACGATGGGGCTGCGCCACCCAGCGCCAGCGACGGGATAGTGTGCACGCACCACCAGTGACTCAAGCGAGCAGAAACATACTACACTCCGGGGACCCATGAGTGATTGTAAAATAAAAGAACAAGGTGAAATGCACCCTTCTTTAATGGAGCCACAGAATATGTATGAGGAAGGGTTCTGGCCTGTGAAACTTCCGTGTCAGTTGTGTGCTTATCGGCAAACGTGTGCAAACAAGCGGCCACACTGTGAAGTTTATTTATCTCTCACAGATCAGTCAGAAAGACTGAATTCTCTGCCAGGAGGAAAGCATCTCTCTATGCCGCTGTTTCATCATTAACAAAGACCCTGGAGTAGACGTGAGTACTAACGCCGCAGTTGGCCACAGAAGGACTCCGGGGAGGAAGGAACGGGAGCAGCAGAGTCCAGCAGGGAGAGTGTGAGGGTTACAGCGCGGACCCAGAGCAGCAGGAGGAGAGTCCAAACGCTGACGAGAACAATCACGAAAGAGCTGGGACTGCCCAGGATCTGGTGATCTACATGAAACCGCATCTCAAAGGCGCGCATCAGTGAAACTGGACAGAGCCAGTCTGCGGAAACAGAGCAGCCCGCTGGCTTCATGAATGAGCCCGGCCCGAGGAAGTTTCCTTCCCTCCCATCGCCCACATCCACACAGCGGCTTCCGGCCAGCAGGCTCCTCCCGCCGCTGCGGCCGGATACCTACGGGTTTCTCCTTTCTCGGCAGGAAGAAACCAAGAACTCGGGATGAGAGGCTGCTCTCCCGCAGGAGGGCCCGTGAGAAGCATGACCATCAGCAGACAGAGAGGCGAGGACCGCCAGAGAGGAGGGGCGGCCTCCAGAAGGGAGCGGCGACCTCCAGCACAGACTCCGGCCAGCACAGGACAAGGCTCGCGCGGTCAGGCACCCCAGCCACCAGCGCCACAGCACGCAGGCGGGAGCCAGGCCACCGGGACAGACTGGAAAGGGGCCTGTGGGGGTGACTCTGAGCCTGAAGCTTCCAGTGGGAAAACAAAAGGCAGAGAGAAGGCGGTGGATGCGGCCAAGTAAAAGTAACAATGAATCGCTGTGTGTGTGGAGGAAGGCTTACTATAATCCCAGCACTGGGGGCGGCTCAGACAGGAGGGTCCCCGGTCAGAGCCCGGCTGGGCAACTTAGGGGCTTAGTAAGACCCTGTCTCAAAATAAAAACTAAAAACTGGACTGGTGATGTAGCTCAGTTCAAAGACCCTAGGTTCAGTCCCCAGTACCACAAGGAAGAAAAACAAACAACCCAAAAAAATGAGAACAATTTCTTTGGGAGGTTTAAAAAAACCAAAGCAGCTTGTCATGGAAGTACCTGGAGAACACACAGGAGAAGCCAGGAGCAAGCAGCCCCTGATGGAAGCAGACAGCAGCTGGGGCAGCCCGAGGGGCAGGGAGGACAGCAGCAGCCTCTAGCAACTTCTCCACCTGAGCCCTGGAGCCAGAGAGGGCAGGACTTCCCGGCAGAGGGGACACAACTGCAGAAGGCCGGCCGGGCACGCATCACCTGGCCTGCAGAGGGAGGTGAGCCCAGACTACCCAGGGCAGCTGGCCTAACAAAGCTTCTTACAAGCACTAGGATCCCAACTGCACAACCAGTAGCATAAATCAACAAATGGGATCACACCAAATCACAGGAAATAACCAAAGGACTGAAGAGACAACCTGCAGAATGGGAAAGATGTTTGCCAGCCACGCCTCAGAGGACTGGCATCTAGAAATTACAAAGAACTCAAAAAGTCAGGACCCTCCCCCAAAATAAAAAACCCCATCAAAAAATAGGCAACTGAAATGAACAGACACATCTCAGAAGAACAAATGGCCAATAAACACAAGAAAAAAATGTTCAACATTGCTGGCCATTAGGGAAATGCAAATTAAACACCACGAAGACTTCATCTTACCTCAGAAAGAATGGTATCATCAAGAAAGCAAACAACCACAAATGCTGGTGAGGATGTAGGGAAAGGGAAGACTCGCCCTGCTGGTGGGAGTTAAACCAGGACAACCACTGTGGAAATCAGTGTGGAGATTCCGCAAAACCCTGAGCTACAAATTCCATTCAACCCAGCTCTTTCCCCCTCACTTCCCCCAAGAGCGTTAAGGACCTCACATGCGGTGATCCATCCACACCCACGTTTTGGCAGCCCGACTCGACTCGTATTAGGTAATCTTGGAAGCAGCCTATGTGGCCATCCACGGATGAATGGATAAAGAAAGTGTGGTGTCCCACACAATGGAGCACTCTGCCGTAAAGGATAGACAAGTCTTCTGCAGGAAAATGGATGCACCTTGAGACCCCAGACACACAGTTTAAGGATCACATGGTTTCTCTTGTATGAGAAACCCGAAGTATAAATAATTATAAGGATCTAGAGATGCAGGACGGGGTATGGAGGAGTGGAGCAGGGGAATAAAAAGAAACATGTTAAACACATGCACCTACTCCCTAAATGGAATGTAAACACTATGTACTGCGAACATATACTAATAAAACAGAAAACAAAAAATTAATACATATTCACACACTCGGCAGAGCAGCAGCGAGGCAGCGTGGCTGCGGCTCTGGAGGTGAGGACGGGCTCGGCAGGAGCAGCGAGGACCTCCTGCTGGGCCCAGGCTGGAGGAGGACGCAGCTCTGCCAGGCCAGCACCCCAGCAGTGCCCTCCCACCCCGCTCCTTCCGGCCCTCTGCCCAGGGGACACCCTCAGGGGCTGGGAGCAGAGGGCAGGGCCCGGTAACCAGTCCAGAGGTGCCCTGTGTTTGCAGGTGCTGCAGGAGAGGATTCGGGACGAAGAGGCTGGAGTTGTGCAGACTTTAGAGCTCACGGTGTGAAAGCCACCACACCCCGCTCCGGAAAGGTCCCTCTGCAGACAGGACAGGAGAGACAGGGAGCCCCAGGCCTACTGAGGCCTGCTAGGGTGCCCACAGGCTCAGCCTGAGACCCACAGGACCTTCCCACTGAACCAGAGCCCTGTGGGAGTCCTCACTCTGCTCGGTCTCCTCATTCTCTAGAGCTTGGCTCAGCTTCGTCAGCAGAAGGGTCGGCTCCATGCCCCGCTCTGGGGCTTCAGCCGGGAAGTTGCTGGCCGAGGCCATCAGAGCACGGGAGAGCCTAAGCCAGTCCTGAACTTCCAGCAGTTCTCCTAGCACATCTGAGGACCACCGAAACAGTTCTTTCTGTTTGGCCATGCGATTCTCGGGGATGCTAAGACAGCAGAAGACAGCTCTCAGCTTCGGGCATCCCTGACTTCCCTGGGCCAGTGAGCTGCTCTTTGCTGCAAAAGACCATCACTCACAGTGCGAGTCTGCCATGCCAGTCCCTCCTCCTCTCCAGCCGAAACAGGGCAAATGCAGGGAGGCGGACTCGAGAAGCAGGAGCGGGTCTGTGCCCCTAGAGCAGTCGCTGCAGACCAGCAAGGGAACAGGAGGGACAGAGGCAGGTGGACGAGCTGTCTTCGGTGCCCAGTATTTGTAAGTTTTGGGTTTTACACGAGTTCAATATAAGGAGATCATCTTGATGGTGTTGACTTGTTTTATTATGGCAACTTAAACTGTAGTGTAAATTATTTAAAAAGAAGTGAAAATCAGGGCCGGTGATTCAGCTCAGTGGTTCCGCCACCTGCCTCGAAAGCACAAGGTCCTGAGTTCGATCCCCAATACCAAAAAGAAAAAAAGTGAAAATTACCTGAGAATATGAGTCACTAGTAACATCTGAAGCACAAGGAATGGGTATGAGAAGCTTTCTCGGAGAGGTGGGGTCCACATCACGCGGGTGCACTGGAAAGAGAACATTCAGAGCGTGTGATGTGCTTGCTAAATTCACCTTAGGACATACCAAGCAAAGGCTGCTGTTTACAAATGCAAAGAGAAGCACTTTTCACACATAATATGCATTTAAATGGTGCGTTATGAAACCACACTTTCCACAAAGAACAAAACTGGGAAGTGAGAAACAGTACTGAGAGACACACAGGCTTGAGACTGTCCTGCATACCCCGTGTTTTCCTGCCTGTCCTCCGCAGCTCGCGGACACCTGGCCCGACCTGTCCCTGCTCATTGTGAATGGTGTGAGTGTGGGTGTCTCCCTGGCATCAGGAGGCATTTCTGTGGGAACTTACACCCAGCAGTGAGCTCGCTGGAAGGAGGGTTAACTACTGGATTCAACAATCTATGATGTATCTCAAAACATCTAAGGGAGTACAGAATTCCTAGCACACAGAAATGATAAATGTTCAGGGAGATGGAAATGTAATCCACACTGCGGTCACTCAATACCATTTCTGCTAACAGGATCTAGGATTCCTTGGACAACAGATGATTCTATATCTGGGGACAAGAAAGTACAAGGTGATCTTGGGGTGCTTTTTGTGCCACAAAGGCAGTGTTCAAAGGCTGAAAGAACATATCAAAACAGAACAGTACCCAACAACACAGAACACCTGGGAATTAGCCAACAGAAGCTATGAGGGACACCAGAGACAGCAACACAGACTGACACACATGAGAGGCGAGACACTGCCATGCTGGTGAAGTGGAAGACGCAACGTGTTTAGGGTGCGTCCTCCCTACATTGACTTGGAGTTTCAAAGTGATTACAGTTAAAATTGTGTACAAGTTGCGGACAAGTTGAGAAAGGAAGCAGCAGTGACAGGCCAATCCTAACATTTACACGGAAACACAAAGGCCCAGAGTAGCCTTGGTAACAGCTGGAGACTTTCAGCATTAGAGAGCAAACTTACAAAGCTACAATATTTAACCCTGAGTGACACTGGCTTACAGATAAAAAGACTAATACAGCAAAATTGAAAGGCTAGAAACAAACTTAGAAATATACTACCTGCGATCAAAAACATAGGTAAATGTTTACATTTTTAAAAATTATTGGGCTGGGGATGTAGCTCAGTGGCACCGCACTTGCCTGTCCTGAGTTCCATCCCGGGAAAGAAAGAAGGAAAGAAGGAAAGAAGGAAAGAAAGAAAGAAGGAAAGAAAGAAAGATCATTATAGTAAAAGAGACAGTGCCATGAATCCACTTCAAACTATTCTCCCTTGTTTCAAAAACATCTCTTCTATCCTTCTTGGCACTTTCTGAAGCAGTTCTAAAGTCATCTTTCCCGAGGGTCTTTAGATGTGCTGCGTCAATGTCCTGAATCGATTCAAAATGTTTCCCCTTTCACAGTCATCCTGACTTTGTGGAAGAGCCAGAAGCCGCACGGTGCCAGATTCAGGAATAAGGTGGATGAGGACACAGTATCATGTTTTTATCAGCCTGGCTTTCCACTGAATGAGGCTCAGCGGCAGCAGTCACTGTATTTCTAGGAGGTCACACTTCCTAAAACCACTCATGAAAGGGGCCTTCCAAAACTGCTTCGGAAAGTGGCAAGATCGATGGGCAGGTGTGTGTGACCAGGGAGGGCTGTGACCGTGAGGGATACGTGGCAGTGTCTTACTGCGATATTTTAAAGTTCAGACACACACTGCCTCTGTAGATCAGCCCTGGCACAGTATCTTCTGGGTGGGGAAGGGGTCTTGTCAATGATGGCACCACGTCACCTGGCACCCCCAGAGGAGCATCTGCATCTGATAAGCAACACACAAGGGTCTCTAGTAGCACTCACCAAAGAAACACAAACCCAAACTGCAAAAATGCAGGTACCAGTTCGCTCATCAGAATTACCAACCTCAAGAGGAGGCCAACAGAAGTACTGACAGGGAAGGGGAGCAAACTGGGCGTCCTGGAGACTGCTGATGGGTGTAAGAAGTGGTAAGAAGCACTTTGGAAAACTGGATAAATCCCACACAGACAGGTTGAGACAAAGACGCCAGACCTCAGAAAGTACCACTCCATTTCTACAAGGCTCTGAGCTGAGCAGGCCATGCCTCTCCACAGTGGGAGAGGACAGAAAAGTGCCAACCACTCCTGGACGGTGAGGAGGGTGCAGACTGGCCAGGCCGAGGAGATCCTGCCAAGGGCTGAAACAGCTGGTGTCTTCATGCACACCCATGTTTATAGCAGCACAATTCGTAATAGCTCAATCTTGGAAGCAGCCTGTATGTCCATCAACAGATGAACAGATAAAGAAAGTGATATTCATACATGATGGAGGACTACTGTGCCATTAAGGATACACCCAAGTCATTTGTAGGAAAATGGATTCAACTTAAGTCAACAGCACTACATGAAATAATGTTAACTATCACATAGCTTCTCTTATATGAGAAACCCAAAGTACAAATAATTTTTTAATAACAAAATAAAAGATATGTAACAGGAAACAGAGACAGACCTTTTGCAGATGGGAAGGGGCTCCGGCGATGGAGGGAGGGAAGGGAGCAGATGCGGAGAAGTAAGAAGGCACCTCACACATGTGCCCCAGCCCTTGGGGAAGCGCAGGCGCTGTGCACTGCACACACACACTGGTAAGCATTTTAGGGAGAAGGAAACAGGACAGTGGCGGCCAGGGCTGGGGAAGGGCTGTAGCTGCTGCTGAGGACGGAGCTGCAGTTCTGCAAGATCAAGAGCTCTGAGATGGACGGTGGTCAGGGTTACGCACCATTACAGATGCATTTACGAGACGGAGCTGTGCCCTGAACACTAGCTATGATGAGATTTAATGTTATGTATATTTTACCACAATAAAAAAATGGAAAATACAATGTCACAGTCGGTATCTTGCTCTGGATCATGGCTATATGATTGTGCACATAGGTAAGCTCTGCTGAGCTGGACAATTAAGCGATGTCAATTTTAATGTATGAAATTATTTATCATTTTAAAGGAGGGCTCCTACTGGGAAACACAAGAGAAATCATGATGTAAGTGGATTATAAAAAAGCACAAAAAGAATCCATGCATGTACAGTAACAGTAAAAAAAGAATGGCTGGGGGGATCTGTCCGCATGAAAACAGTGATTATTAAATGTAGATAAAAATGAAGGAATTAGGAAACTGCCATCTGCAACGGCCAGCGTAAGAACTGACTCGGGCAAGGAGCATCCGAGGGTGCTGCAATCACAGGTCAGGATATTAAGTGTCTCTTACCAACCCACAACCACTTATTAACGTCAAGGAAAAAGCATCCTGACAGTAGCTAAACCTGACATCCACCAAATCGAACAGATGCAGTAAACTCAATAATGGAGAAAAGGGTCTCCCGGCCTGAGCACCACAATGAACAGGACAGAACACCTACGTGCCCATCTTCAGGACACACCCAGGGTGACTCTGACAAATCTGCAGTGTGGGCTCTGAAACAATGGGCCTGCGTTCCTCAGAAACAACAGTGCCAAGGGAAGAGGGCAGAAAACAGGAGGCAGAAGAAGTGCTCTACATCAGCTGTCCTGGAGATAAGGTGACTGATGCCAACTCAAACTCTGGAGGCGAAACAAAGGCATACAGGGACTTACTGGGTAACTGTGGAAATCTGAATGTGCACTGTACTGAGATCCCACCGTGCAGTTAGCGCTGTCAGACTTCTCAAGTGTGGCAGAAGTCTATGAGATCCAGGAGGCATGTCCTTTCCTTGCTTTAGGGAATTTGTACTGAGCATTAGGGGTGAGTCTGCAGCTCATTTCAGTGGATCAGAAAAGCATCTGTGGATAAGGATGTGTGTAAGAGACAGGAAGTAAATGTGTCAAAATACTGGTACATGGAAGCAAATCTAAAACTTTTCTTTAGGTCAATTTTTCAAAATATAAAGAGTCAAAAAGCCACAGAAAGAAGCACTCTCTTTGTGCTGATTTTCAGTCTGAGAGTCACAGCGGAACTGATACAGCTCAAATGCACAGCAGCTGCCGGCTCCTTCTTCACAGCCAGGACAAGCGCCCAACTAAGGTTCGGATCTGCTAAGACAGAGTTCTGGCTGGAACCGTAGCAAAGAGATTTAAGACACAAGCTGGAAGTCAGCAGAGCAACGAGCAGCAGGGGAGAGGAGAACACAGATCTTGCCCCTCATGCAGTGCGCAGGTTCCTGGGCCTGCTGCAGCTGAATCCAGAGGTGGATGCGGACTGACTGAAAAGCTCAAAATGCATATGAGACAGGAGATAGGCCGCAGTGCTGGCTGGGAAATGCGCAGGACCTATCAATCACAGGCTCCGGGACCCCGCATGAAGAACTCACGCTCCCTTGAGATGTGGACACCATAAAAAAGGACACCACAGGCGCTTGCTAGCCTGACTCCCCACAGCAGCTGTGCTGCATTTCTCAGACACAATGTGCTCTCTTTCTCTTGTTCGGCCCATGTCCATTCCGCAAAAATAGTTTCTCCCTTACCCCTTCACCTCTCACTTTTCAAAGAAAGTTTTTGGCACTGTTTCTGGCTTGTTTCATCCAGTTTTATGTCGGAGGCAAGAAGGACCTGGAGTACTTTCGACTGGCAAGCCATTTCTAAAAGGAGCTACTGGATAACAAATCTACTTCCAGCTCAAGTACTGGTAATACCACAGGGTTCAGTCTTCATGCTTTATACAAAATGTCTTGCACAAAATAAAGACATGAAAAATAGTGGGAGAACATGACCCATAAACAGGAGAAAACAAAGTTTCATCCACAAATAATGCAGACACTGACATTAGAAGACAATCTCTTTAATCTCTTCAATTATACTTAGGGGTAAAAATTTATAGAATAGTATGGATAGATGGGCAATTTCAACAAAGAAATGGAAGCCCTGTGTGGGGAGAGGGATTCTAAAGTTGGAAAGAAGGAAAAAGAGAAAGGAAGAAAGCTTCATCAGACAGTGACGACAACAGACCAAACACAGTGAGCTCTGGGCCATGGAAAGAGAAACTGCCCAAAGGAGCCAGAGAGAGAAAAACACCAAAAAGAGTGTCAATACCAAAAAAAAGCTGAATGTAATTGTTCATGTTATTAGAATCCCCAAAGGTGATGGGAAAAAATGATGAAGATCAAATATATGAAGAGAAAATACAGACTAATCATTTCCCACAACCAGTTATAGTGCCCCACAGAATCGCGGTATTCAGTGAAGCTTGAGCAGGGTCCAACAGAGAAGGGCACCTCAGGTTCACCACCATCAAGCCAACAAAACTCAGTGGTTAACAGAAGACCTGCAACCTATCACATAGAAGACCGCGAGCCACCAGACAGAAAACCATGAGCCACCAGAGTAGACCTGTGAGCCACCAAGAGGACCCATGAGCCACCAATGAAGACCTGTGAGCCACCAGAGAGAAAACCATGAGCCACCAGAGAAGACCCGTGAGCCACCAAGAGGACCCATGAGCCACCAGAGAAGACCCGTGAGCCACCAGAGAAGACCCGTGAGCCACCCTAAAGATGTTATGTTCAGGGAAGATCAGTGGGGGCTATGGCTGAGCCCTTGAACAATGCTAGAAAGACAGGAGCATGATGCTTCAATATGCTGAGAGATGATGTTATCAGCCTAGAATTCTCATCTAGCAAAAAATACACTTCAAAGAAATGAAGGCAGAGTAGGGACATTTAGAACAGATTAAAAACCGTGGCTGTGTTTGTAGCAGATCTCCACCACAGCGCTACGTAAAGTTTTCAAATGGAACAAAATGATGCCAAGCGCACTCAGATCTGCAGAAGAAATGAAGACCACAACAGGAACACAACCTAAACCGTCCAGCTGTTAGGATGAGCAGGAGTTGGTCAGGCACAGGGAGGGCCCAGGGGCGAGGAAGTACACAAGACCCAGACTGAGAGAACACGTGACCAGGTCCCAGGGAGGACAGGGATGTTTCTGTGCAGGAACTGGAGAAAGGAAGGCCAGCAGGGTGGAGGCAGAGCATGCAGAAGGAAAAGCAGCCTGGGCAGTGATGGGCAGCAAAATCAGGCATCTGGTGGCCCAGGGCACAAGGGCTGCTGCAGACTGGATTTCTATTACACTGCGAACTAATATTATTTTCTTTTTACTTTTGGAGTTATTATAAATTTAAGCTCCAAATCCACAGAAAACACCAACCAGTGGCCTACGCTTACACAATTTACACCCCAGCACAAAGGTCATCCTGATGGTGCCACTGCAGCGCTCTGGTGCTCCAGCAGCTTTCCCATCTGCTCCAACAACCTCTCTCAGCAACCTAAAAGGACAACAGCATCTGTTCTCCAGCTCCCAGTGCTGGCTGTCCCTCTCCAACCACTCAGCACCTCAGGAGACTTCCTCACCCACACCTACCCAGAGGAGGTGCGGCACACAGCACGTGTCCCACAAGTCAGCCCAATAGTGGAAGACCCAGCACCCATACCCTGGGCAGAATCTTACCAACTCAGGAAAGCAGGAAAAAGAAAGGTGCAAGGAGCAAAGCAGGAAAGTGGAGGGAGAAGAGAGTAAATTTCTAAAAGCCATTTCCTCACATGTGCATACCTACATATATGGGAATATGTTTTATATGAAATATCAATCTGCTTAATAATTTTTTAAAACATCATTATGGAAAAGCTAAATAATCCTATTTCACAAGATGAATTTCTAATAGACAAAAATTAAAGAACAACACTGGTTTAGATTTTCTTTACTCTCAGCTAGATTCTTTTCTGTAAACATGGTAAGGCCCTTATATATGGGTAATCCCAGCCTTCAGGGAGGATAAGGGAGGAGGACCCTGAGTTTAAGCTCAGGCTGGGCAACTGAGCACCTTAGTGAGACTCTGTCTCAAAAAGAAAAAAATCTTAAAGATCTGGGGCTGTAGCTCAGTTTGAAGACCTGGGGTTCCACCCCCTAGTGCCACAAAAGAAATAAAATACAAAACAAAGCCCCTCATCCGCACCAGAGCAAACTCTGCTTGCATCTCAGCAGCGAGGGAGACACTCAGCAGAGGCGTAGGAAGTGACCACGCTGCATGACTGCCTCGGAGTCCCTGGTCCTTCTATGAGTGCTTCCTGTTTCTAATTGGAAGGTTTTGATTTTTTGTTTTAAATAATTTGATTCATCCGTTAGTGCTACACCATTTTATAGTTCTTTTGTTAAGGCAAAACACTTTCTTGTAAAACCATCTGTGGGAAAAAAAAATTTTAAACAGTGTAACATATACCATCTTAGATACAATACAAGGCAAATAAAGAAAGGAAACAGAACTTAACAGCAAGTAGCCATTCAGAGCTCTTCTGGGGACACATAAAGCCTTCATTTAGGTGATTAAAATACCTCTTCTAAAAAATTAACCAACAGCAATTCCAGTGAACAAAGCTATACAAAAATTCATTATATACATGAAAACGTATTACCAGAGTAGATGCCTTCCCTCATATGAAATTATATACATTATGCAATATTTTTAAACATCAGAAAAAATAGTCTGAAAAATCTCATAATCTGACAGTCAAAACCTATAATTATAAATTTCTAATTACTCATTTAATCATCAATTATTTTGCCTAAAACTGCAGTTAATGCTTTAAATTTAAATGCTTTTTTACCCTAAAGCTACAGTTACATATAAATATGATAATTTATTTGGCTATTTTAGTAAAATAAAAATTCAAATGCTAATTATATTTAGTTTACCATTTCCTAAGAAAGTGATGTCTAACAGCCTTAAAAAACCAAGTAGCTAAAAAATACTAAAAAGAAAATCTGCCAGGCTGAAAAATCCACTAAACAGTCTGAATACCTCTGTTAAGAACTGAAGAGTGCATAAGAAGTGATGCTCACGCTACGAGTATTAAACTTAGAAGCAAAACGTACGCTCGGAGCTGAGCGCGGCAGCGCACTCCGCGAACAGCACAGCAGGCCTCTGTGCGCGGCCGACAGGGCTCCTTCTGAACCCGTCTTGGTCCCAACGTCCAGGAGCCCTCCCCCGGCACACAGTGCACCTTTCCTCCACTCCGGAGCCGTTACTTCCCACTGCTTAGGGCACGCTCACAGGAGCCGAGCCTCAGCGCGCCAGTCTACACTGGTCACAGGCAGGGTGAGCCAGAGCGTTCTCCTTTCTCTGCACCCTAACTCTCACTACACCAGTACCGCGTGCTACGTTGCTCTAACCTCCAAGCCCATTCTACCTGCGTCTTTCTGTGATTCTAAATACTCGGTGTGTTCCAGATGAGTATCTATGGGAACTCTCGGATTTTAAAAGTCCAAGAGCATTATGTGTGCGTGTGGCCCTCATCCTGAAGAGCTTCAAAACACGCGCAGACGCCAGCACTGCGGTCACTGGGTACAGACTTAAGAAGGGTGAATTCATACAAAGCAACCTGAGCTTTCTAGGGTCCCCTCCCATACAAACCTTCCCAAGAAAGAAACGCAGACTAAGACACATTAACAGAAATTCAATCGCAGCTACAATTAATTTAGAGGATGGAATTAATGGGCACTTTATGTGAGATTTTAATCTGAACTAAACTACTAGTAATACTAATAATGAATGAAGTAAAATCAAGCTAACAACTTCACAAAACTTACCTCTGTGATAACCCTATGAGATTCCACTTTCAAAGAAGAAACTGAGGCACAAAGAGATTAAAAATGACTGGGTGTTCTGGTCAGACAGCCAGTGAATGGCAGAGTCGGGATGGGAATCCAGCCGTCCGGATCCAAGTCCGCGAACTCTGTAATGCCGTTGTCTTTAGAAAGCCCTTAAACATTTGTAAATCTGTGTATATAATAAGATTCCCTGCAGAGGATACTTGAAGTGTATCATCCCCGGCTGGACGAGGTGGAGCATGCCTATAATCCCAGCACTCTTGAGGGCTGGGGCAGGAGGATTGCAAGTTCAAGCCCAGACTGGGCACCTTAGCAACCCGGTGAGACCCTGTCTCAAAAAACAAGAAAGAGGTGGGCACGTAGCTCAGTGAAAAGACTTGGGTTTGATCCCCAATATCACATTTTTGAAAAACTATATTATTCCTTAAACATAAGATTTCATAGTTTTTAAATTATGCAAAACTTTGTTACAGATCCACTATTTCCTGAAGTCAGTACCAATTATAATCACACGAGATAAAATGGTCATGAAATGGTCACAAACAGTTAAGTGAAAATAAACAATAACATAAATATAGATCAAAATAGTAAGCATTTAAAGAGCACTGCTACAGACACAATTTAAAAGAACTGAAAGAAGAAACCTGTATTTCCAGGAATGGTTTTGAAATATTTTGAGCACCTACCTCTCCGTGATTGAAGAAGAAGCAAGACACTGTCACAAGGCCTCCCAACCGGCTGCCACTGGAAAACAGGACAAGAAAATGGGACTCGGGACAGTGAGAAGCCCAGGCTGACCCCAAAGAGCCTCAGAGTACTACCGCGGGGTAGCCTTCCACAAATACAGGATTCTCTTATGCTTGTGTACAAAACAGTTTATTTCCTCCAAAACATCATGAGCCAAAAATCACTTTATCTTTTTAAAGAATCATTTGTCATCTTTAAAATGCGCACTGTCAGCACAGCAAGCAGACAGAAGGGGACTAGAAAAGCCCTCATAGTCCCTCACCATGCCTGCAACCTGGCTGCTCCCTCGGCATCACGCATTACTGTGTCTCCCTCACTTCTCTTGCACTGTTTTCCTTAGAGCACATAGCACCCATTGGGGAAAGGATGGGGAAGTGCAGGAGAGGGCCCCAGAAGGTCGTAAGGCAGGAAGTGCCAGCTGCCTCCCCACACTGACCAATGTGCACAACCACTTCCCAAACCCGAGCACAGGACACATGGAGGAAGCACTGGTTTACAGATCTGCTTTCAGAAAAGAGACGTAGGACAGATATCCAAGTATGGCAATCAGGCTGCTAAGTGCTGCTAGGAAACCAGGACGGGGAGCTGGTGGGTCCAACAAGGGCACCTTCGTCTGCCCAGAAAGAGGGAAACCTTCCCGCCCGCCCTGGGTCTGGGAGAGGTTTCAGCTCTATTTCAGTCAGCTGCACCTCTTTCCTTTTTCCTCCTCAGGTTTACCGCTCCATTCAGCAGATGCTGCTTTCTCATTATCTGCTCCAATGTCCTCCTTTCCCATCTTCGGCAAGTGCATCCACGGCAGTGAGGTCAGAGCAGTGCCAAGGCCCCGAGCGCGGGGGTGGCAGGCATCAGTCTCTGCCCTTGGGGACCGTGGATGGGGACACAGGAGATGGCAGGGAGGGGCTGCATGGTGGGCGCATCCCTGGGGAGACAGCTGGATTCCAGTGCAGGGGGCTGCGAGCCTTCGCATGGGGGAGGAGGAAGACTGTACGGCCTTTGAGGTTTCATTTTCCGTGGGGAACAGCCACAGCCTTTGGCTGCTAGAAGGAAAAGGGGCAGCAGGAGGGGTCTGAAGGTCAAGGAGGCAGAAATACCATGTGCCTGTATGGAGAGGGAATGCGGGGAAACGAAAGGGTCATGAGCCCTCGTTAAGAGGACAGCTGAAGCCAGAGACCACCACACAGGGTCTCCAAGTGCGGGACCCCGTGATTTCTCTCTACCAGCTGTCAGCTTGGACCGACACAAGCAAACCCGGACAGGCATAGGTTTGGGCTGGGAAGTGGCCAGGTGACCGGCCGCAGAGGTACAATGGGCAGGGGAGAGGTGGGGAGTTGGACAGGCCAGGGCACGGAGGGCAGGGTCCTCCCAGGAGGCGTCCAGGGCAGCTCCAGCAGACCCAGGGAACCAACAGGACAAGGCCTCTCCCAGCCTCTCCCAGCCTCTCCCCGGGGCCACCAGCACCAGCACAGGAAGATGCGCATTTTACCGAAGGCAACAGACCGGAGAAGGGTTTTTAATAAGAACACATTTTAATATTCTAAGAAGACAAATGGTACTCCCTATTAAAATAAGAAACGTGGCCCTGCCCTAGGCGCCTGAGCCAGTCTGCGGCCGTCCTCCTCCACAGCCACACCTACCGCGCCCGACCAGTGCACCGTGCACACTCCCCTGAAACTTGCTCTTTCTCTAATTAATCAAGAAGGTTTTCCCCAATCAATACCTGTAACCTAAGACACTCTTTATAAACATCAAATAGCGCGTGCTACCAATGTACGCGACTTGTTCGGCCCTTTCCTTGTTCTAGACTCGCAGATACGTTTCAGTGTCCTGCTGCGATTCCGCAGAAGGCGGACATCCTCACATCCGCAGTGCCAGTGCGCATGCACTCCCAAGGACTGGGCGAGGCCAGGCCATGGGCCCCCACCTCGTGGGAAGACTCGGCCGGGCTGACGCAGCTCCCCGTGCTGAGACTGTGCGCCCCGGGCCTCGCAAAGACCCTGACTTTCCACTGCCGTCCGCACTGCTGCTTGCAGCCTACTTGTCCGAGCGTCCTTCGGGGTTGCGTTCGGTTCTGACTTCACGCGCTCCCCTGCTGTGGCGGCCTGTTCCCGGCCTCCTGTTTTCCTTCTGGATCATCTGTTCCCCGTTTGAAGACTGGGGGTAACACATCCTTGGCTGTCACATGTGCGATAAAGCATTCTGATACAATTTAGGGTATATGCTGCCAGAACGAACTTTCCAAATTTTAGGAAGTTAACTGTGTCGTTATTTCCCTTTGTCCCCCCACTTCTTGCCAGGTCTGCAAAGGTCTTCCCTGTCTCAGAATCACATCGACTCCTAAAATCTCTAATATCCTGGCATTTTCCACTCAGATCTGTCATCTGCAGAATCCTAATTTGCGCTCTTTGAAAGAGCCAACTACGCTAACATTATATCAAGCAAACATTCCCTTTCCCAGTGAAATGAAAGTCAACCTTTAACATGCACTATCTTCGTACAGTGCTAGAATCTGTTCTATTATGGTCAAAAGGCTTGATTCTGTACTTTTTTTTACCATACACTAACTGTATTACTATAACACGATGGCAGTTTTAACACTTGATAAGCAAATCTCCCACAGCCAATTACCTTCGTTTTTTAAAGATTTTTTAGGTAATTCTCATCAACTTCCTCTCATACTTATCATCTCATCCACTTCTTCAAAAATATAAAAAATAAACTGCTGAGTTTCTGATTAGAATAGTATAAACTGGGAGGGATTCTCATGTATAGAATAGTAATTTGCCCATTCAGTTGTATACTATCTCCATTTATTCAATTCTAATTGTATTTCTTTAAATAAAAAATATGGACACGCAATATAGTAGTCAGGTTAAACCTTCTAGGCTTACAGAGAAAATGATAAAATCTGATCCTGGTGGAGTATTTTAACACTTTTGGGATTTGGCAGGGCACGTGCACTACAGAGAATAAATCAGTGACTCGAGGGAGATCATCAATAAGCCTGACTCTGAAAATGCACAGAAGAGGTGCATTTCGTAAGTGTCCCAAGAGCACAGCTGTAATGACCCCTCACTGTCTGACTGGTCCCAAACTATATAAAAAGCACAAGAAAGATGAAAAAACTTTGAGAATGTTACATAAAATTTCCAAAGGGGTAGGGGTGGTGGGAGGGGAATGGGAAAGGAAAGGAGGGAAAGGAAAAATTATGACAAAAGAAAAAATGGAAACAAAGTCTTTGTAAATAGGGAAGGGAGGAGGGGGTAAAGGGAAGGCAGGGGAATGGGGGAAAAATAAGAACCAAGATATGTCATATGCAGGTACCAGCACCCAGTGATAAATGTGAATGTACTGTATACCTAAAATGTACCAATGAAAGAATTTAAGCAAAAAAGAAAAAAAACCAAAACAACAACAACAAGAAAATTTCCTTTCAAAATTTCCCCGGAACAAAAGGAGAGCAAAATCAAAATTTTGTAGCTTTACTATTTTAAATAGCAGAGGAAGGAAGGGAGCTGAAGCACCAAGGACAAGGCCCTGACCCAGGCAGCCACAGGCTGCCCAGCTGAGCCCCGGCTGGGGCCAGCGGGCCAGGGCTGCCCGGGCAAGCAGGAGCCCACACTGACTGGCCTCGCCTCGCTAGTGAGGCAGATTTTCTGGCACCCTTTACACCCCACCACTCATGAAGGAAGAAAACAAGGGATATTCTGAGCTACGATCAGATCACTATTTAGCAACTGAACTTGCAAGAAATCAAGGTGGGTGTCCCTAACGCTGAGCCCTTTCCCAGCCTGACCCTGGACACCTAAGTCCCTTCACTGTGCTAAACAGAAAGCCGTGCTTACTGTGACTCTTACAGTTGTTTAACACTTTTTCCTTTACAGCCGACCCGTTATTTCAGCGTTCTAGTGGTTACAAAGGTCCCCCTGCAACGCCACCGTCCACTGTCAGGGTGTGCGGTCTCCCACTGCACAGATTTCCCGTGGCTAAGCTTGCTAACACTCACCGCATTTATTCCCACCAGTCGTTCAGCTCTGAGCCTCACTTTCCCTCAATAGGACGTGAAGGGTATAAAACCCTGAATTAAAAAGACTTACACTTTTATAAAATCTGAAGATTTTAAAAATGTTTAAGTCTTTTTAGACCTTGGAAGTACCATCCAATTCTGATATTCAATAGACCTGTAACTCTCTTCTTTCCTGCCACTAGAGTTGTAAAGATTCACATCAATCACCCAGTTGTGCCTTGAGCTCTACTTGTAAAAGGATGATGAAACATGAGAAGTTCTACACTTGGAGAGGAAAAAAGGCAACCACAGTTGATCCAAAACTGTACTGAATACTTTGGGATGAGTTTTCTTATTGTATAAATGAATAAGGGCAAGAAACAAGTAATTTGGAGGAGGCAGAATTAGGAGGATTTCCGGTGTCAGTCTGGGAACCCGGGCTTGGCCCCTCGCCAGCTGGACGGGGCCGGGCAGGTGGCCAGCGGGGCAGCCTGGGCTGTCCATGGCAGGGGCTCACAGGCACGCAGGAAGGCACCGGTCACGAAGAGGAGAGCCTGAGGGCCAGAGCGGCGAGACAGAGCGCTCTCTCTCCCGAATGCAGATGTCCCAGGGCAGCGTGGGGGACGCCGGGACACCCGGTGGTGTCTAAGGCCTCTGGGGGGTGAACGTGCACAGCCTGCTGGCCTCTGCGGCCTCAACCCTGCCATCCGACAGGTCACACAGTTGGGCAGCACCACGCGGTGGGGACCCCGGGCCTCTCCCCCATCTGCTGCTGGGACACCAGTCTCCTAGAAGACACCCCACTGCCTGCACCTCCGCACACCACTCTCCCCCCAGGTGACACCCTTCTGAGGACCCTCTGTGGCCAAGCCTGGGGCTCCCCAGTGCATTCTCCACAATCCCTAAAAACAAAGCCAACGGCTGCAGCCCTCCACCCCCCTTCACCTGCACCACACCGGCCTCTCTAGGGCAAATCCAGACACCAAGTGTCCCA